GCAGTTACTATCTATATTTTATAAATATACAAGGAAATTAAGCTCCAGAAAAATCTGTATAGACTTTGAATCTTTCTGCCTATATCAAATCTCAGCTATGGTTGGGATATTTATTTCCCTTTCAGCCTCTGTGACTTGACATAAGATGATGTCAACAGGAACCAAGGGTTGCTGCAGTACGAAAGGTGACATCCTGTAGCTGAGCTCTCTAAAACTGTGCTAACCCAAAATAATCTCTCAGGGAGCCATTATTATTTCACACTCTAGGTGTAGATTATCGACACATTGCTTAGTGAAAGGTTTTCTTTTTATTATTGGCTGGCTTTTCTTGCATCAGGATCCTCTGAATTATATGCTGTTTTCCTTATACAGGGCTGTGTTACAATCGAAGAAGTCTATTAGCTTTACTGAAAAAGCGAAAGAAGCTTTGAAGAAAGGATTCTCTGGTGTAAATCAAAGTCGAATGGGTGTATCAAGAAACTTAGTTATTCTGCCTGAGATGAAAACGACAGAAAAAGTGAATGTTCCTGGCCCTAAGACAGTGCAGGTAATGTTCTTTAGAAATCTGGGTTTATTTCTAAAAGACATTATGAAAAATTTGGTCATCATTTTAGAGATATAAAATGTATACTGCTTTTAGGAAATCATATCTAATACTGAAATACTGCTTTCCTTGGCATCTTTAACCCCGTAACATTTATTACAACACAGTATTGGTTATTGGCTCCTCTAACTCATTATTGACAATAAGAATTTAGGAGTGGAATAGAGACAGCCTATCAGTGAACCTTACTTCATGTTTATGGTAATAATTATGTCTAGTACACTACCACTGTCTACTTTTTAGCAGTATAATATTGCAAATGTCATAAAGTGAGTTGTCAGATATTAGAAAACCAATAATTAAAGTCAGAATTTTTAATGATTTTAATCAAAGCATAACATATATACATATACAAAGTACATTTCACATATATACATATATTAAAATTTTGGTCTAGACGATGTTTTTTGTTTTGTTTTGTTTTGTTTTGTTTTTTGTCTTTTTCATTTTTATCAGTACCAAGGATTGAACTCACGACCGCCTGCTTGCAAGGCAGGTGCTTATGCTGCTGAGCTAAATCCCCAGCCCCATAGACGATGGTTTTTGAAGTGGGAGATTAAAAGCACAGTCTTTAACATGTAAAACTGGTACATTAGACTTCATAAAAATTGCAGCTTCTGCCCTTGGAAAGACACTGGTATCAGAGTGTTCTGGGGAGTCCGTGAGGCATCCCCTCAGGAAGTACTTGTAGCTATATAAATATAAGAGCTTTCAAAACAATATTAAGGCAAATTAATTTTTTAAAATGTGCAAAATACTTGAACAATCATATATCACAATAGACATTCAAATGGCAAATGGGGGTATGAAAAAAGATCAAAGTCAGTTATCAAGAAAATGAAAATTAAAAATCATAAAACACAGCCAAATATCCGTTAGGATGGCTGAGTTAAAGACTGGCCATGCCAAGTGTTTGCAATTGGCAGAGGATCTGAAATGTTAAATACTGATACTCGATGTGGAAAATAGAAAATAACATGGCACGTTATTAAGTACTAAAAACACATCTACTATACTACTAATCTACTTCTAGATATTCGCCCACACGAAAAGAAACATATGCTGATACAAAGGCTATTACATGAACACTGTATATTTGTATATATATTATATGTGATCTCTCTGCCTACATGTACATGCATACATGTATATGCGTGAAAGATTGAAAGGCTACCTACTTGTGCCACCTCTGTTCAACATGATAGTGAGAGTCCTAGCCAAAGCAATTATGTAAGAAAAACAAATCAGGGCTAGGGATTTAGCTCAGCAGCAGCACAGTGCTTGCCTGGCAAGCATGAGGTCCTGACTTTGATTTCCAGTACAAATGGAAGAAAGGAAGGAAGGAAGGAAGGAAGGGAAAGAGGGAGAAAGGGAAAAAAGAAATCGAAGTTTTCCATATTGGAAAGAAGAAAGTAAATTATCTCTTTTCAGAGATGATATGATCTTACATACAGAAATCTCTAAAGAAGCACACACACACACACACAGAAAAAAACTAATAAAGTCTACCATTTGCAAACTAGAAGGGAATCCCTGTTTAAAAATGAAGTGCTCACTTTTCCTTCCTTTTTGGGGGGCTTGTTGCATGAAGTATGGTTTTCAGTTAAATATCTTTTTTAGTTTCTTGATCCATTCTGCCTGTCTGTTTTGGTTGGTAAATTGGTACTATTTACATTGATGGTTATAACTGATATGTACTAACTTATCCTTGTCAGGTTATTTTCCTGCTGTTGGTTCCCTTTCTTTCTCTTCTGTTTAACTGCTTGTCTTGCCTGGTGGATTCTTTCTACTGGATTCACAGGTACAAATTCTCTATGATGAAGGTGATCATTGTGTATATCTAAATAGCAAAAATAATGAAGTGCTCAAAGGAAAAAAGTAACTACAATCTTCTATCGAGCAAAGCTGCAGTTTAAAAGTAAAGTGAAATGCTATTCCAGATGAACAAGAATTGTGAGAAATTTTACGTATTGACAGCAAGTAATTCTATGTGATAATTAACATTATATGAATAAAAAACACAACTAAATATCATTCTGTAACTATAACAACACAATTATCAGACCTTCCTCCTTTTTTGAAAAGCAGTTGTATAAAATAATGTATACATAATCACACAGAAATTAATACATTATTAATATATGCATCGATAATAGTATGAAGAGAGTTGGTGGGAGCAAAATTATAATGGGCTAAAGAAATCTTGAAAGGCAAGAAGTTAATAATTATGAGACTGGGCTTTTGTATTTGTAATGTTAATGGATATACATAAAAATAATATTCCTAGAGGGACCAGAACTATCTGGGAATAATGTTCCAATATATTAGGTAAATTAAGCAAGTGTAATCCAACCCTGGTTTCTAGATGATGTGTGTGGTAAGCCTTATAGTGGTCAAACAGTAGAACAAAATCAGCAGATCAAGAAGTTACAAAGCAAATTGGAGAATATAGTGATGCAGTTGGTAGTCCAGACACCAGTGCTTGTTGTACACCGCTTAAGCAGTGCGTAGAAGGAAATTTACACACACAAGTCCCTACACTAGGGAACGGAGTGACAAGCCAAACTGTGGCACGGCTATGTTGTGGTCCCTACTGGAGAGGCTGAGGCAGGGGGATCAGTTGATCCCAGGAGTTTGAGGCCAGCACAGCAAGATCCTGTCTCAAGAAATAAAGAAGCAGTATGTGAAATCGTTAACCTTTCAGTGTCTGGAAATGGGCAAGCAAGCAGCACTTGCTAACAGCTGGACACAGCTGTGTAATATTATTTCTATTTTCTGGGTCCCACTGCTTAGGAGCCTGCATTCTTTACTGACTTCATTCTAAATAAACATTCCCACAGGTGCTGGATGAAAACGGGGTTGATGTGACTCCCAGACCCCTTTACTCTTCAGATCCAGGTGCAGCAAAGCCCAGTAAACTGCTGTCATCCCAAGAGGGCTCCCTGGGGTCGGATATCATGGCCTCCTACAGCATGTACCAGAACACGCTGAACCCCAGTGTGATGGGGCAGTTTACAAGGTGAAGTACGCTCCGTGTAACTCCTTTCTCAGCATATGTGTTGACTTTGTATTCACATTGCAGGTATGCCGTAGGTATCAATTGTCTGTCGTCTCCCAGCCTGAGTGGATATGATTTAAAGAGTTCCCACACTCACCAGTATATTTGTAGAATGTGTAGAGATTTGACTTGAGGTTTCCCAAGGATCCAAAAGGAAGGGTTACCATTTGCACTGTCACCATTGATTGCAATTTCCCCTTAGTATTTTTCCTCAGTTTTTTTAACTTCTGTTATGCTACATTTTATGGGAATGGATGGGTTTCTTTTTTTCTCCATCCTCTCATGAAAACCCTTGTTTTTCAAGGGATTGATTTCTATGATATTTTAGAATATAGAGAAATCGTATTCTGCTGGTCTTACTGACTTTCTCTTTGCTGAGACATAATACCTGACACCCACATGTTAAAGGAGAAGAAGTCATTTTGGCTCACACTTGACAAAGATTTCAGTCCATGGTGGGCTGGCTGTAAGGCAGGACAACATGGCAGGGGAGAAGCCGTCCATGGCAGGGAAGACAGGAAGGAGAGAGAAACATGGAGGAGCTGGGAATAAATGGAGGCAGGTCATGCCCCCGCTGACTCTCTTTTCCAACCGATTCTTCCTCCTCCTCTCCACTATGATCACAGGAGGGTTTGTGGAGACATCTAGAGATAAACCAGAGCATTGCTGTTCAGCCCACCCCACATTTGCAGACAGAAGGCGTAGGGGTGCCAGGGAAAGCAAGAGATAGTTCAGTGTCCCACGCTATAAAATGGGCAGGAGGAGATGGTAAGTAGAAAAGATACAGACTTCAGAGAGTGATGTTAACATGTTTAAGGAAATTATTTTTTGATTCTTCTGTTGATTTCCTGCTGAGTCCATAGATGTGTTTAGTTTAATTCAACAGGACCCTTATACAATTAAAGCATATTTAAGATGATATTTGAACAGCAAGCATGCCCTGAAGTAAGGGCGCTCCATGAGACTGAGGAATTGAAAAATAAAAATCAGTGACAAAATTGTAAGGACGAACAGTGACAGCAATGACAAGGCTGAGAAAGTTAGGCTCTGTTTTGGGGTTTTGTCTTGAACATACTTTTAAATATATTCTAAATGACTTTAGACATAGATTTGACATGTGTTATTCCAAAATATATTTTAAATTACTTCTGATTTAAAGAATATTAAAATCAACTCAACATTTTTCAATATATTTTGATCAATGCACTTTGATCTATGTTGCTGATAAAATTGTAGCATATTTGATTGCTCTAATGATTCAACTTATATATTTTCATAAATTTCATATCACTTAAATAAGTGATAATGTTGTTTTTAATTGTTAAAGGTCAGCTTTAGGGAGCAGTACAATTTCTAAGTCAAGTATATCAGCAACTGAGTCAATGGCAGAAGACCTAGAAGAACCATCCTATAAAGGAGAAAAATTGGCTAGCTTTACAGGTAATAAAACCACACTTTTGTCTTTAATCTTATTGTCTTCACTCATTTTCAGTGATATTAGATGCATACCTCCCCACACACGCTGTTTTGTACATTTGTGAAACTTAAATTCTAATGTCATAGTCTGTATGGCTTTGTAGGATCTCCCCATCTCTTAATCCTGTTTACAGATACAGAGAGAGACCCCCCACTGATGCTCATGTACCTGGCATTTGGAAATCACAATCAAACTTCTTTAATCTCAAGTACTCAGAAAAAACATAAGCATGCTGGATAAAAAAGGAAGGTAACTGAAGTAACCAAGTGCTTAGACATTAGTTTCTAATGCCATTTTCCAGCAAAAGGAACAAGGCATCTTTGGAAAAATGACTGAGTTAGTTTCTCATGGTTGGGATGATTACCTGACAAATACCTACAATTTAAGGAGCATTGGTTTCCTCTGGCGCCTGTACAGAAGTTTCAGTCTTTGCATGGTTTGTAGCATGGTGGAAGGGCTCGGAGAGAGGGAAGCTGCTCACCTGTTAGCAGCCAGGAATCCCAGTAAAGGTGGACCTTGGAGGGAGATCCCTGTTTTGGGTCAGCCCACAGGGACCACCTTTGCCTACCAAACTCCGCCTGCTAACAAGAAGTCAGCTATGGACCCCGTAATATAATCATTTTCCAACATGCGAGACTTCAGGGGCCATATTAGATCTAACGCATAATAGATGATTCTAGGACAGGGCAGGAAACATATAAGACAAGATAGAAAGTGAAGAACAAAGCAACCCTACAGAGTTGTGTGTGTGTGCTAGTGTTATGTGAAAGGGACCTACAGCTCTCAGGAGCGCCCATTGGCCAGAGAAGTAACAGTTTACACCATGAAATAAGTAGCATAGTATTGTTGCAGAAAAACTGATATCAACACTGTTTGCACAGAGGAGTTAGAAGGCAACTGTTTATTACGCTAGTGAGTTGGTCAGTTCCAAATCACTGGCCACGAGCCAACTCAGAGTTCAGTTTAAATACAGTTTGCAAGCAGGACGTACAAGGCTGATGGCAGGTTTTGACTTGACTGGTTATATGAATCCAGTTGTGTGTTGTCAGGCAGGTTTGTTCCAGGTGGGTTACTCAGAAGGGTTGTTTTATCATAAAGCGGGAGGGAGCTGGGCCTGAGTGGGTGGTGGAAACTAAGCAAGCCATTGGCCAGGCCTTGAAAATAGAATGTGTTTATATGTCAGACAGCACAGGCAGTCCAGATGGACGTGGTCAGACTGGACCGAGTTGGACTCTCTGCAGCTGTAGCTGACGTCTGTCGAGGCTCCCTAAATCTAAGGGTCTAACTGTGTGGTGAGCTGGGGAAGAACATCTTAACTGAATGTCAGACTGCTGATTTTTAACTTTTCTGTTGCAGTATTATGACCATGAGTCCCTATTGATGAAAATTACTGAATAAACAAACTCCTGTGCAGAGCGATTTAAGTAATTAATGTAGCTATGCCTTTCTCAGGATGGTACTCAACACCCCTTCCTGTGAGTGAGGGCTTTTCCTTTTGATTTGCTTCTAAAGAGTCCATTATACAAAGGGGACAGGTAAAGAATAGCGTTGAAACAGGATTATTACTAATTCAGTCCGGTGACCAAGGCTGGAGTCAGCACGGTGAGTCATGTCGGCAGCTTGTACATGAGACGTGATGAGAATGATATTTTGCCTCTACAGTCTTCTTCCTGGAAGCCATAACCATTATCTAACACTAGGAAAACCCAAACCAAAGGACAAGATACAAAAATAGGTGGCCAGTACTCCTCAAAACAGTCAGTCTTCAAAAGCAAGGGAAGCCAGCTGAGCTGTCAGTGTAGAGGAACCAGAGGAAAGTCATGACTAAATATAATATGATGTCGTCACTGAAGTTCTGAGTAGAAAAATAAGGCACTGGTTAAAAATTAAGAAAATTGGATACAATATGGACTTTAAGCAATGATGAAATGTCAGTATTGTTTCATTAGTCGTGTTGAATCTATCACAATAGTGTTAAAAGTAGGGTAAATTGGATGCAGGATATTTAAGAACTCTTATATTCTTGAAACTTTTCTGGACTCCTGAAATTACTCTAAAATTAAAAATTTATTAATGTTTTTAAAAGTGTAGTAAAACCTTTAAGAGGTCTTCTGAATGATTCTGAGGCATCCTAAGATTTGGGAAGCACTGCTTCACTGCGTAACTAAAAGAAGTTTTATACTTAGGAAAGCTCGTGTTGCATTTCCAGAGCAGGGCAGGCAGCATAGTATACACCAGCTGTCTTTAGATGTTCTCAGTGAACAAGTGGATAATTCATTGAGTTTCTTACTTTTTACCAATCTTAGCCAGATGTACTGTTATTGATCACAACTGTAAATTAGTTTCAGAATTTATTTCACAGATAACAATTAAAAACCTTTTTAAAAAGAGTCACCCAATGCTATAAAGGACAGGCAAGTGAAAACTTTTTTCTTTCCTTACCTTGTCCATATGCATAATATTTTATTCTTACAATCATACTTTAGAACATGTGCTGGGTTCTGCTGTTATTTAACATTTTATTGCACCCATTTTCATGATTTTAAAATTATATGTTATTAATAATACTCACAAATAAGTGTAGCACAATTATTTTGCTGGTCCAGTTGACTGCTTGATAATTTTTTTTGAAACAGGGTCTTGCTATGTAGTTCAAGCTGGCCTTGAACTCACTATGTCCTTCAGGCTGGCCTTGAGTTCCTCCTGCCTCAGCTTCCCAAGTTTTGCGATTACAGAGATGTGTCACCACACGTGACTTGTAATTTTTTTAAATAAATTTTTTTAGGTGATGGGGAAGGAATTTTTTCCAGGCATGGGCCTATGAAGAGGACACTGAACTTTAGTCTCTGGAAATTGTTTTTAAGTCTTATTTCCCTAAAGCTATTCAGGTGTCTGCCATGGAAAAATCTTATGGATCTCTGCTTCACTCCTTTTTGTGCACAGAAAATTATACTCTGACCTATATGTCATGTCATGGATCTTTATTATCCACAGAAGCAACTTCCAGTTCACTCAGTGCTACGGCTGTATTTATGATACAGTTTCCCTAGGACATTGAACTACTGCCTTCCCTGAAGATTCTGGCGGTTCCTTTTCAGCATACTGTTCACATGGATATTGAGCCAATTTTATCCCTGCAGTCCACCAGAGCTTCTCTTGAAGACCGTTGGTAGCTCCTGGTCAAGATGAGAGGAGGTGGCCCATAGCCCTAACCAAAGGCAACTTAGAAGATGTCACCCTAGCTACGGAAGTTAACTTCAGGGCTCAAAGAAGTGGTGCATGGCATGTCCCCCAAATATGCTTTTCCTTCATTCTTTCTGTATTGTACAGGCAGTCAAACATGCCAGATCCCTGTCAATAATGTAGGGGAGTTATCAGGGGGTGCCAGTAGAGTTAGACTGTGGGGTGGAGCCCCACAGACAGCCAGCCATGCTGCTTGGTGAGAAGGCTCTCAGGCGCAGTTTGGTTTCAGAGAGCTTGGATAGACTACATGTTACACGTGGCCTGTTTCTCCACCATGCAAAGTCACCTGCAGTGTACCATCTGTCACAGTATTTTTGTGTCTGAGAAGAAAATGCAAATTAGCAGTAACAATTAGTAAATGGTTTTTATGAAATTGAGTATTTCAGATATGCAGGTTATGAGGGCAGCTCCTGAAACAGTCATAACCAAAGAGGACCTGGAGAAGAATATAGAGATCCTACTCACGGAGACGGACACCCTGAGATTTTTTGATCTGCCGACGGTCATGATCTCTGTAGAATCTGAAGAGGCGGAGAAAGTCATGTAGGTGCATTTCATTTGTCTGTAGTTCAGGTGCAAAATCAGGCCTTTTCTCATTTTTAAGAGGGTTCTCGCCAGAGGTACTGGATAGAGGTGTGTGTGCCTTGGGAAATTATATATAAATCGTCCACACCTCGACAAATTACATGGGGAGCATTTATAGAGGGTGTCAGTTTGCTAGAGGAAAACCCTAGAGTTCAGCCATGTTCTCTAATGACGAGGCAAACCTGAAGGGAAAGAGATGTGGGGCAGAGGGTGGGAAGCTGTGGTGAGCTAGGAGCGCTGAATCCTGGTGTCCCATTTCACATCAGAGTGATTACAGTCAGTGATAGCTAAAGGGAATTTTGAATGTTTTCACTACAAAGAATAACAGTTTGAGGTGACAGGTGTCCTGCTTACTCTGGGGAAAACAACACATCTGTATACGAACGTCCCATGATACTGTCATACAATAAAACATAAAATAAATACTATTTCAATGCATTCTAAATTAGGCTAATTATTAAAGAACTGATGTTTATTTTGTAAGACTTATGGGAAAACATAAGAAAATAAAAGTTTACTCTGTTGGAGCGAATTTTTTATTTCTCTCTAATATAAGTGTAAAAGGACTGTTAGTTCTTGCCTGATGCATTTTGACATCCATTCAGTCAAGACAAGCACATTAAAAGCTGGCACATATTCTTGGAGAACTGGCTCTGTTGTCATTTTGAGATGTCACTATTGCTGAGAGCTTTTCTTTCTCTGAAGTCTGCTGTATCTGAAATTAATACAGTTATTATAAATAATAGTATTTCAGATTATTTCATGCCAAATGTCATTTGAATGATTCATATTACTAAAATATCCATCACCAAAATAGTTTTAGGGTATTATCCCTGCCTAAAATGTAGCATACTGTGTAATGGGTAGGCATACTGGCATACTCCTCTAACTGCAGCTACCTGGGAGAGTAAGACAGAAGGATTGCAAATTCAAGGCCAGGCCAGGAACTTAGAAACTGCCTCAAAATTTGAAAAAGGGCTGGGGATGTAGCTCAGTGGCAGAATGCCCCTGAATTCACTCTTCTGTACTATATGAAAAAATTATTGTAAAATTGTTCATATCGCAAAGTACAGTACAACTGGATTCTGGATTAGCTATATTTACAAGTTTTAAGAAGTGAGTAAAAGTTCCTGGAACCTTGCAGAAGACAAAGGGGGCTGGAGACATAGTTCCGTAGCAGGGTGCCTTTGCATTTGTGAGGCCCTAGGTCCAACTGCCAGCATCCCCCAGGATTTTTTTAGATCTTGAGTCCAAGAGTGTGATACCAACCTGGAAAATGTCAAAATCTCATTCTCCCAAATAGCCAGAGGTTAGTCGGGTCTCCTGGCTCCTCTCAGAAGCAAACAGATCTCTGGAGGGAAGCATACCCCAGTTCAGTTCTCAAGATTTCAGTTGGTTAAAATATACCAAACTCATAGAGACACAGTCATTATGAATAAAAGTTAGCAGAAATAACAAACTCTAGAGCTAGACCCTGAACAATGATATTATCAGATATAGACTATAAAACATGCATGAAATGTTCAAACAAATACAACAGAATTAAGATGTCATCAGCATTAAGAAACTGTCAAGCTGATGACTCCTGTCTGGGTAAAGCACTTTAAAATACATTTGTACAGTTGTTTAAAATGCAGACCTTGGTGTGAATATTATAGTAGACATTTCAGTAGAGATTTAATAAGTTAGAAGATAGAGGTGGATAGATTACATAACGTGATTGAAGAGTAAATGCTTTATAAAGTATGAGACAGTTTAAGAGCAAGTTGGCAAGGGGACATTTAGTCAGAGTGTCAAAGGGCAGAGGAGCAGAAGGGAGAAGAGGGCCTATTCCAGGAGAGAAAGAATAAGGACTTTCCCAGATTACTGGGAGACGCCATTCCACAGGAGGGGGATAAATAAAAAATCTACAAGCGAATGTCCTCAGTGCATTGTCCTGGCACTACAGAATACCAAATATAAAGAGAAGGCTGTAAAAATAAAATATCACCTTTAGAGGAACAAACTGACAGCATTATCCCTTCTGAAGGATGAAAGTCACTGCTTTATTGGGGATTTGGCCTGGCCTCCAATCTCCTAAAGTGAGTTACAGCAAAAGCTAAATAAAAAGAAACAGGTGGTATTGTTTTTGGGGAGTCCAGAAAGGTCAAAACTTTCCAGCAGTAAACACGAGGACTCTTCCGATCATCACATTTCCTGGGTTTTCACAGATTTGGGGAGTGCAGGAGGAGGAGGGTACACAGGGGGTGAGTGCTCATGAAAATGGCCACCTGATCTCCAACGTCTCCCTCTTTCTGTTTTTGTAATCGCAGCAGTTGAAGCATTGTGACTTGAAATTGGACAGGTGCAGGTGTTGGCAGGATTGGCACCCCTATAGCAGACTAAGAACAGAAATAAAAGATACAAACATATTAATATAATCAATCCAGTGTAGAATCCAAGATGGGTCTGGTGGCAGCAGACTTCATGGCTTCAAAGATGCCCTGTCTCCATGGCCCTGCATTCCAGGATAGCATTCATGATGCTGCTTTGTGACCTGTCAGTACACAAGCGTACCCTCGTCTCCATGTTACTAACTGTACCAGGCCATCCTAGTTTCTTATTTGGACATCCTTTTGTAGAATTTGTGCTCTAGGTGTGTTCATCAATTTGTCTGTTTTGCCAGTGAATTTCTGATAGAGCAGATTTTTTGCAAGCAAATTACAAACAATTTTTAAAGTAGCAAGGTCTAATTATGTTTGTGGGGATTACGTGTATTCTTCCCTTTTGTTTATTTAATTGAGTTTTGAGAGGTAGATGTGTTCTTTTTCTTAAAGCTTGGCTTTTACTAAGTAAGTCTTTGGCCATGATTGTTCTTTGGTGTGGAGGCCCACCCCATCTAACTGCCTGTAATAACTGTAACTACCTTAGCTGTCTATAATATTTCCCCTCTAAAGGGCTAACCCCAACTACATTTAGGGAGACTGCACAGTTTCCATCTTACCTGCTTCAAGCTGAGAAGGGTCAGTATAGGGGAGACTGCAGTCAGGGACCCTTCCAGCGAGTCAATCTAATGGGCTTCCAATGGAAGTGATTTTGCAGCTTACCAGGTGTGAACCCTCTTTATGAGATTGATCTGGTGGGTTTCAGTAGAAGGAAACTGTCATATTTATTGTTGGTTCTGTCTGTATGATTGAAGTTTGGCAGCCTCTGGGCAAGAATAAGCCAAGTTTTTTAAAATTAAAGCATGTATAATCAAAGCATGATCACTAGAACAGAAAAGTGGGTTTGGAACAGAGCCAAGTAGACACTTTTTGTGAGCCCCACTGTCTTTTAGATCTCTGTATGATGGAATCTGATAGTTTATCAGAAGTCTCTCCAGTTTTAGCTGATCTTATCTAAAGAATTCAAGGTTTTGTTGAGCTTTTGTGGATTTTATTGTAGTTTTTGTTGTTGTTGTTAATGACCCATAACTGCAGTCATTACTGGTGTAGCTGGAGATTGCCAGAAGGGCTTAGTGATTATATCTAGCTTATTATTATGGCATTGTTGTACACATTGCTTGGTTATACTTTTCTGTTGGATATTTAAGACCAAGTGAAAGTGAGACTTGCATTCATCCAAATTAATGTCTTGCTATCTAGCAGGGTCAGTTAAGTCTCATCAGGATTTATCTTGGAACTCTACGGAGCCTGTCCGTTCTTCTGTCAGTGTCAGCCAACAGGATGACCAATTGCTTTCTAGAAAAGCCTGGTCGGTGAGTGAACAGAGCACAACCCCACCCCAGTCCACTGGGTAGCAGCTGGAGAGAGGGACTGCTCTATTCTGTCTGAGAGTTCTCTAGAGCTTGAGTTCCAGCTGCAGAACAAACTGGGTCCCTTCAGTGCCAGAGTCTAGGGCCGTGCAGTCACAGTAGAGAGCCAGCAGTCTGACAACAGACTGAGGGAGCTCAACTGAGAAGTAGGAGCTGGAACCCAGGCTCCAACTAAGAGAAGGCTAAAAGCCAGTCTTAGAGCTAGAAGCAGCCCCCCATCCTGCAGCAGGACAAGGGCACCAACCCCTACCTGGTCCAGAGGCACAAGCAGGCAGGCAGCCCCAGGCCAGACACGGCGCGACCACTTGCCTTGCCCTTAGCTGGCTGAGGACACCCTGTCACAGCTTCTTAGGTTGTGGCATTTAATTTCTACCTTCTTAGGTTAGTTTTCTGTAATAGAACAAGTGAACTGGGATGAGGTCCTTAACGTATTCCTGATGATAATTGCTTTGGCTTTGTAATAGCTTAACAAACAAATCTGGGTTTTCTGTGTAGCTAAATGGATAGATCTTGAGACCATACTCTTAAATGAAATAAATCAGACACGTATGTGTAAATATCACATTGTCTGTCTAGTGTGAGAAAATGAAAATATCAAAAAAAGCCAAAATGTATAACAGACACTGTGAAATAGGAAGTAATTTTTCAGAGAAAAAGAGGAATGGGAAGATGGGAGGGAAAAGAGAAAAATGAGAAAAAAAGGGTAAAATGGAAACAAAGCTTTGTAAATGAGGGTTGAGAGAGGGGAGGGGAATGGGAAAAAACTAAGGTATATCATGTACAGGTACAAATTCCCTATGACAAATAAATCATTGTACATATCTAAATTGTACGAGTAAACTTGATTTAAAAAATAAAACAGATAATTCCTTCAAAGACTATTTAATGCAATCTTTTCCTAAGGATTTTTTTGATATCTCATTTCACATTTTGGTACAACCATATTAATGATATAACTTTTTTTTTAAAAAATGGTAATATAAAAACATAGTATGTGTAGACTCAATTTTTATTAATGAGTTGATTCTCCATTTTTTTATAGCCAGAGAAATAACAAATATGAGACCCTGTGTAGAAACAGATTAGGCAATGACTTGTATGTTGAACGGATGATGCAGACTTTTAATGGGGCGCCAAAAAATAAAGACGTGCAGTGTGACAGGATTATAATGGAAGACCAAGGTAATGTGTCTCCTTCCCTCCCTGATGGGACTCACCACTGTGCACTTGCAAGGCAGGCGCTTATGCCGCTGAGCTGAATCCCCGGCTTCCTCCCTGAACTTTCATGCTTCACCGTATGTCCTGTTGAGTCTGCCAGTCAACAAATACATGTTGAAATGTCTAGAGCAGAAATAGAAATAACTTGGCTGAATCACAATAGCGGTTGCGTCCTGTGATCTGTAACTTTGAGAATTGGACATTTAAGTTAACAAGTAATGAAAGTGTAGGTTTCAGTCCTCTGCATCTTGGTTATTATGGTTACTGTATCATAAATCTCTCTATGCTTGGTTCGTGAAAAATTTATGGAACCGGTTACGTCACAAAGCATACGTGTCACAAGTAACACTGCAAATGAGTCAGACACTGTGCCAGGTCCTTCACATAGATGAACTGATTTACAGATGAGTGATATGTTACCCCATCGTACAGATAAGGAAAGGGGCACAGAGAAGGTAGGTGACTGTCATGCTTTGAGTCCTGTGCTGTAAACTACGCACTCTTCATCTTACAACACTGTACCCTTAAGAAAACTTAACAGGCAAAAATCTACCATCTGTGACCAAGGGAGTAACAGGAAAAAGGTTGTGTCTTTACTCTTGTCCTTATTTCTCAACAAAACTGTAAGCAAAGCTTTAAAAACCATTAAAGTAGATCAGTTTCTAGCAAAAAAAAAATAACCATTGTTTTCATAAAAAGTATAAGACTGTCTTGCTGGTGGGGGCATCTCTTTCCTTTCCTAGTATCTCCTGTTACGTGGAGGATAGGAATTGGGACGCCCCGTGCTCATCTCTTTATTCTCTCTTCCTGCTTGGTAACAGAGATGAGGCTTACCTGATGGGTGACTGGGGAGTAGAAATGCGGGCATGCATGGTTATTGCCCTTCTTTACCTTTCCTGGTAGCAGGCTGACACCGAGAACTAAAATACTAATTGACTTCCCTGCACAGACATTGTAAAGGGGTAGGAGAGGAGGCTGTGATTCTCACATTATGCCTTGTAGGTTTGTCTGAGTCTGTAGTTTCAGATTAAGGAGTTCATTGTTGGTGCACATCTAAACTACGAAAGTCCATCTACACATCCCTGGTGGTACAGGTGAACATTGATGATCTGTATTTCATTCCTCGTTAGTGTCTTAATTGGTATGAACTTAGATGAGTGTGGAAAAATGAATACTTGTATGACATGCTATTGGCTGACATGGCCATGGAAGTGGACCAGGGCCACAGCTGCCCGCTGTAATCTAGAGATCCAGGAAAGATGTTAGGTAGTTTGAGGTTCTGAGAGCCAGGGAACCAATGGTGTGTGTTCCAGTTTGGGTCTGGAAACCTTAGTACAAGGAGGACTCAGGGCAGAAAAACCAGTGTTTCTTAATGACAGCAACACAATAATCAGTCAATACAATTCAACACTTGCTCTTGATAAAATTGCCTGTAAAGGCATAGTGTGATCTTTCTTGATAATATATCTGAAATAAAAAGGAAACTTTTTGCTTAAGTTGAACTATTAAAGATATCCCCATTAAATGTTGGAATTAGAAAGTGGTACCACCTATGATAATTATTCAACATTGTTTCTGCCACTCCAACCATGGCAGTAAGACACAGATAGATCAAATTATCATTGTTTGAAGTCAGTATTGACATCTATTTATATACTGTAGTAATTAGCTTTCTGCCATTATGACAAAAATACTGAAAGTAATCAATGGATATGGAGGAAATATTTAGTTTGGCTGATGGTTGTAGAGGTGTCAGTCCATGGTTGCTTGCCTCTATCACTTTGGCTTGTGGTGGCAACACATATCATGCCTGGATCATGTGGTGCAGAAGTTCTGTTCACCCACGGCAGCTGGGAAGCAAAGAGAGGAGCTCAACGTCCTTTCCAGGGTCCCCTACACTGACCTTGCTTCCCCCACTAGGCTCCACTTTCAGAAGTTCCACCACTTTCCAATGGTGCCACCACCAGAGGCTCAAGTCTTTAAGACATGGGCTTTTAGAGAATGTTCTAGGCTGTAGTAGATACTTAAGAACATTGGCTTAGTTACTTTTCTCATTTCTGAGACAAAATACCCAACCAGCCACAAGTTAAGGGAGGAAAGATTTATTTAACTTACATTTTGTGGAGGTTTCAGTCCATAATCAGGTGGCTCCAAGGCAGGCTGGCATTGCAGAGGAGAACAGTTCCTGGTAGGCAGAAGACAGCAGAAGCAGTGAGGCCCTTAACAGTGTCTCTCTGCTCCTTTTATACTCTGTCTAGGCTACCAGGACTGACTGAGTTAATACACCTTTAATCCTAACCGTAGTTCTCAATTGTACTAGCAAAAATAACAGAGCAGGTAGTTCCAGCAGTATGTCCTTCCACAGAAGTATCCAAAAAGCCTAAGCAAACATTGTCGAATGAACCTTGTCAGGACTGTGCAAAGTAGTCCAAGGTCTACAGCAGCCAAGGCAGAGCTGGAGCAGGAGGAAAGAGACAGAACCGCTTGCTGTTTTCCCTGTCCTCATCCCTGAAGACTGTCAGCCAGCTTCCTGATGGGAGGCTCTGCCTGTTCATTCTAGGAGCAGACCACATATTGTGCTAGGAATTGGGTTTATCTCTTTCATTCTGTCTTGGGGACTATTTGAAAGACAGACCCGGAACTCTTCTCCCAAGCAGTAAAGAGCTGCACCTAAGATTCCTCCCAACTACCCTAAGAAACTGAGCCCAAACCACCACGGGCAGCATTAGATACCAGGGCCCTAATCTTATGCTACAAATACCATAATTGTAGCTATCGAGTAGCTGCACCTATGAGGTCCAGATTCTGTTGTCTGGTTAAAGGGAAATAATTCATGGTTAAAATACCACCCTTTACCTGAAAATCTGGAAAACATAACATATAGGACTCACTGCTCTGTGATCACTGATGAAAGAAAGACTTGCTGTGAGGGTGATGTAAACCAGTGAGAGAGACTGCAAACTCTAAAATGTTTTGAGGACAGATAACATTGTCAAGTTTTATTGAATCAATTTAGCTAACTTAAAAATTTAAAAAGTGGGGCAAGACTTACACTGCTATACAAGTTTCTTAAAGAGAGCTCATCATTTTCCCAAAAAAAACACAGGCCTGCACACAAATAGGGAATTTCACTGTCTAAAAATGGAATCACATAATTAAACGTGACTGGACCTGTAGGCCATTATATGCTGACCATAGCTGTGGACATAAGAGTTGTATTGTTGTCAAGCTCCATGTCACTAACGCAGCCCCACAGTGGCAAACAAGTAATGTTTAAGCTTTTATAGGGCCAGTTTTGTATAAACCTAACGTATTAGGATTCGACTGAGGATAATTCTCACCTTTGCTTGTTCAGGGGTCATGGCCACTACCTGGGATCTGTATGATTCCTTCGACGCCCTGAAGCTCTCCTCCTCAGCCGGGAAGCGATACGCAGTTGAGTCCAGCAGTAAGGCGAATGTCCTTCCCAAAGAGCGCCTCGAGCAAAAGCTGCCAGCTGCCCTCACAGACAAAAGTAAGATTTCAGTGGCTGCCGTGCTCTGGAAGGACATGTTCATGTAATGTTTGAAGTTCTTTTTTGGCCGTGGCAAAACTTTCTTACAGAACATGGAAAGCACAGCTTTTACCCAGAAGTAGCACGAGTTCTCTCGGACGCAGTCTCAGTCTCCCAGCCGAGAGCATTCTTCTGCTTGGACATCTGCCGCGCGTTTTCAGAGCTGCTCCTCTGTGGCTTCTTCACTTGCTCTCGGAGTCTCTCACACACGTGAATGGTGGCCTTCTCTCTTTCCTCCTATAGGTTAGCTAACCTAATAATAACAATCTTAGCCATATGATCTTTCACAGCTTTCTGTTTTAGCAGGCTTTGCTCAACACAGCTCTGGCAGGAAAACCTTGGGGTCACCTCTTACAGCCCAGTTCAAGTAGAAGTACTGCCAGAGGGGCAGCTTTGCTCCAGCCAAGTGCAGCACGAATTCTGGCTTCCTCTGATAACTACCTGTGTCTGGGTATAGGGGCGTGATCATTACTCAGCCAGGTACAGCCTGCACTGACACCTCAGAGTGGAGGCCCATTTGCCCCACTGGGTGGTGGTGATCCTGACCCCGATTCCGCATGAATCCGATTTTCTGTGGAATCCCAGAGCCCACACCACTCTCTCTCACACTCACAGTGTTCGATAGAGATGAGTGTCCAGGTGGTCCACTGAGCCTTTTTGTAACCCCGCATACAGTGGAGGTTGGCATGTCTCCTGTGGCCAGGGTGTGTGGGGAGCAGGCTGCCTGGGCCCAGCTGACCTTGGAGGTGTGGAAGAGGCTGCAGTCTGGGGTTTGTCATCCCTGAGGCATTGGACTGGTGCAGAGTGCGGGCTCCTTTGCTCTGGTCTTTGGCTGCAGACGCTGGGCAGTCCCAGGCAGCTGCTTTGCCTGTGCCTGAGTGTCTGCATGGTGACGGCCTCTTCGGCTCTGTGTCTGGAATCCGTGAGATAACAAGAGATATGTGGGAAACTCAGCCCTGTGTCACTCTGGCTCCCAAGGACCCTAACTACTTTTCCTTTCACTAGAGGACTTCCTCTGTTTTCTAGATAATTTCCACATTTTCTATTGGATTTCTCAGGGGTGCAGGGAAACTATCTCTGTCCTATTGTCATGAAAGCAGTGAGCATTGCGTTTTTAAAGTAAGATTTGTGAGTGGGCAGGGTGGCCTCCCCAACATTTTCACGCATCCTGGGAGCTGATGGGAGCTTCAGCTGGGGAATGTATCCTGGACTATATGAGTGTATCCCAGCTCAGCACAAAGGCACCAGGAAGGAGGTGACCTCTCCCAGCTGTCATCTGGGAGACAGGCGTGGTGACAGCTCAGTAAGGTCTGAGAAGTGCAATGTCACTGTCTTAGTTTTTGTTGTTGTTATTTTTTGGACTTTTTTAGTTCATGTTTTCAGTGCATAATGATTACACTTACAGTAGGGATTGGTACAGAGAAATAATATAGTCAGTTCCATTGTTTTTTCCCCCTGGCTACAATCTTCCTCTTATTTTTCCATCATCAGTTTCATTTATTTACCTTGTATCACTGTAAAAAGTTAATAATTACATATACAGATTGAAAACCAGACTAATAGGCCAAAGTATATGTAACACATGTAAGACAATTGCACCTTTAGATACATTGTTTGCACTGGATTATAAAACTTTTTATTTTTTCTCTCTTACCATCTGGGTTTTGTTTCATACTTTATATACATTGAGGTTTTTCATGTAAGAGAAACCCATGTGATGTTTCAGCTTGTGTGTCTGGGTTATTTCACTTAGCATTATGGTTTCAAGGTGCATTCATTTTCCTACAGGTTTATCCTCTTTATGGCACAGTAGTGCTCCACTGCGTATAAATAGCACATTTTAAAATCCATTTATCTATTAATGGACATGCAGGCTGTTTGCAAGATTTAGCTATTATGAATTGCTCTGCTATAAACATGGATACGCAGATCCCACTGGGATTTGATGTCTTTTAACCCCTTTGGGAAGATACCTAGAAGGTGAATAGTTGGGTCAAGTGAAATTTCTACTTTTAGTTTTTTGAGGAATCTCCATACTGATTTCCACAGTGCTTGCACAGTTTAGGCCCTCACCAACCATGGAGAAGGGTTCCTCTCTCCCTGCAGCCCTGCCAGCACTTGCTATTGGTTGGTGGTAGCCGTACCTTCTGGAGTGAGGTGGAATCTCACTGTTAATTTGCATTTGTCAAATGGGAAGCAATGTCGAACATTTTTTCAAGTATTTATTGGCTGTTTGTGTTTCTTCATCTGAGAAGTCCATATTCATTTCAGTGCTCATTTTTAAAATGGGTCTTTAAATTGGGGGGGGGCTCTAATTTTCCTTTAGTTCTTTATATAGTCTAGACATTTTTTTCCACTCCATAGGTTTTCTCCCCACAATAAGTGGTTTCCTTTGTTGTGCATCTGCCTTTGGAAATAGAAGTTGTGGGATGCTTCCAAGGAGCCTGAGAAGTCGAGGACATGAAGGGTTCTCCAGGCCTCCGCTGTGGAGCAAAGTCCTGGGAACTCCTTGGTATTTTTTAGCTCGGTGACATTGTATCCTACTGCTAAGCTGTAAATTGTAAGGTTATAAACGTGCCTTGTTAAAAATAAATATGTTCGCCTTGTTTGGAGCCATGGTAACTTCTTTTTTTTTTCTTTTTTGGTGGTACTGGGGATCAAACTCACGACCTCACACTTGCCAGTCAGGCACTTATGCCTCTGAGTTAAATTCCCAGCCCCCAGAGCTGTGGTAACTTCTAACAGCTGCAATAGAAAGCTAATAGGATGCTGTCGCATTCCTGGGAGGCGTCCGTGGGAACTTCAGGGAGCTGTAGCAGCACGGTGGTCTCAGTGTGACTCCAGAAGTGGGAAGGTAGCCCTGGGCTTTGTATGTGCCCCTCAAAGGCCTTCTGTTGGACATTGAATCCTGAAATTCACAGGTTGATAGTGTTTGGGGTGGGGGTTAGGAGACTTAGATGAGGTGGCAGGAGTTGGGCCCCAGGATGGCACCTGTGGTTTTATAAGAATCACAAGAGGCACCGAGCTTGTGAGCTCCCTGTCCCAGCCACATGGTATTATTGCCATATTAGGACACGGCTCGAGACCCTCCTCTGCTGCACCCTGACCCCGGACTTCTCAGACTTCAGAACTGTAAATTACCCAGTCTCTGATGCTCTGATACAGCACTAGAAACTGACTAACGCAGATGTATCATTCCATGATGTTACAACTGCTCATCTTTTGAAAAACAGTATATAATATACAAATATAGATAAATGGTCTTTTCTGAGACAGGGTCTCACTATTCAGTTCAGCATGGCCTGGCCTTCACTTTGTAGCCCGGGCTGTTCTCAAACTTGTAATGATCCTCTGCCTCAGCCTCCTTCGTGCTGGGATTACAGGCGTGCACCACCACACCCAGCTTAAAACTGTATTTTTGGATAATTAAGAATTCCAAAAATGTTTGTCCTATATTTGCTTTGTACATGAAAGATTGCAGTAAGTGTCTGTTGAAGCTGTTAGAAACTAGAAGCAAACAAATGGAAATAATTAAGCCTTGTTTTTAACTCTTTTTGAATGTGCGCGCCAGCTCGCATGGTGGCGCACACCTGCTATTCCAATACTTGGGGAGGCTGAGATGGGAGAATGGCATGTTGATACCTAACTTGGGCAATGTGCAGGTTCAGTGAGACTGAAAATCAAGAACTAAAAAAGGGCTGGGGATGTAGCTCTGTGTGGAAACCCTGGGTTGAATCCCAAGCACTGAAAACAAGACTGTGAACTTTGTAATATGACCGGATAGCTTATAATTGCACCGTGTTTGTATTTGACAGCTAGTGAAACAAGTTCCCTAATGGATTTAGAAAATGTAATTCTGAGTAAGGTCCATGAAGATGAAGAAGACCACGCAGAAGCGATATTCAAATCGGACAAGTTTCTCCAGGACTTGTTTTTCATGGAGCGGGTGCTGATGGAAAACATATTCCAGCCAAAGCTTGCAGCTTATCGTCAGCTTCCTATTTTGAAAGGTATTTTTAAAAAATGATCATTTTAGATACCCTCAAATCATTTAAAAAGTTTAAATGGTATTATTATGTATTTCCAAATGTAATCCCCACCCTGGGTATCACTTATTGGAAGACTTGCATCCATATCGACAGGCGTCAGCACAGGTCCCTGTATGTCCACGTGCATCTGCATATGTCTTTGCCCATTTCTTCACCCCCAACTTTCCAATCATGTTTTTCATAAGCCCCTGACCACTCAGCCAAGTCTTTGCTTCAATCAGGGAATCAGCTTATAATCACATTGTTTCTCATTTCAAGTAAAGCACACACAGCCAGCTGCACTCTAAATTCTCCTCAGCAGGAGGATTTCCCTTCACTGATGCCCTTTGCAGATGTCCCAGAAAGGGGCTGGGGTGCTGGACTGTCCACTGTCAGAGGGGACCTGCGGGCGGTGCAGGGCCATCCGTAAACCAGCCCAGTTTTTCCCACAGGGCCCTGGCAGAGGGTGGTGATGAGACATAGATTATAGCTGGGGGTGTTGAGGTGGCTGGAGTTGGTGTACAGACAATTAGCAGGGAATTTTGTAGAGAAAGAAAGCCTCGGTAAACCTTCCACTGAGTCTTTGGCTGCCCTATGCTGTGCATGTTAGGATAAAACACCAAAAGCCAAGCAAACAACAGCCACCCTGGGGTGCTGCATAAGGCACACACTGAGGGCCCACAGCCAGTTGGGAGATGTTTGAGTTTAGGTTGAGAGACCTTGCTGCACCAAGAGACAGAAAGCAGACACTGGGGAAACCTGTACCTGTCTAGTAGGGCCGAACTAGCCTGAGTAAAGGGTAGTGTAGACATGCCCGGGACCCGCTAGGAAAGGCCATGAAATAGCATTCTATTCAAGGTTAGTTGAGCTACTTGCCAAAGCACATGCTGACACGTTATTAAAGGGAGAAAGCCTGATCTGTGCATCGAACACTAACATGTCCAGAAAAGTTCACCAGGGATGTGAAGAAGCAGGAAATGTGACGAGAACTACAGGAAAAGTCAGTCACTAGAAACAGATGGAGAGGCCACCGAGGTGCTGAAAAGCACAGACAGGGGCTTCTGAAACTCTGTAATACCTCTGTAACTTTGCATTGAAGAAAAAGAGCAGAGTTAGAGAACCGAGACTGCCTGACTTTGAGACCTCCTGTAAAGCTGCTGTAGTCAGGTGGTAAGACACTGGGAACTAACAGCTAAGTGGAACAGAGCAGACAGCCCAGACATAAGCCTACATAAACAGAGCCGTCCGACCTTTGACAAAAGAGGGCATATAACACAGCTGAGAAGACAGCCACTGAAAATAAATGGACATCCGTGTGAGAAAAGAATCCAGACACAGATCTTACACCCTTCTCAAATGTTAACTGAAATGGATCGTGGGTCTGAAAAGATCCATGCCAGACTCCTAGGAAATATCATGAAAGAAACCTGTCATGACCTTGGGCATTGGAGTGATTTTGTATTTATTTATTTATTTATTATTGGTACCAGGGATCGAACTCACGACCACCTGCTTGCAAGGCAGGTGCTTATGCCGCTGAGCTAAATCCTCAGCCCCTATTTTTAATTTTGAACTTCATAGCAGGTTACTGGGATAACAGTAATAGGTACCATAGTATATCTCATTATCTTCACAATAGTTGTCCTTTCAATCAGGTATAGCAAAATCAAACCAAATATAAAACATCATAAAACCTATCAAAACAGAGTATTGAATAGAGCAATACAATTAATCAAAACAAAGCCAAACAGTGATAACAGTATTTGCCTTCAAAGAGATGGTAGAAGGAAATCCCCCTATTTGCTATATTGCATACGGCCATCCTTCCAAAAGATGCTCAGGCCTCTGGCTCTGATTTGCTAATGGCGGGTAGGGTGGTGTTTGATTCTCAGCCCATGCACCAGTAGGCTCATGGCTGCTTACCAGGGAGGTGAACGGGTTGCTTGGTTTCCCAGTGCCCTAAGTTCCAACATGGCACGGATCTTGGGAGATGCTGGCTGCCTGATTCTTTCCCTGGGTCGCCTGCCACTTTCTTGAGCCAAGGCTGCTTGGAGTGACTTTTAAAATAAGCACTGAAAGCACAATCCCCTCAAAGGGGTATTGATAGGCTGCACTTCATTACAGTGAAAAGCTTTTGCTTTTCAAAAGACTCTGCCAAGAGAATAAAAAGACCAGTCCCCAGAGAAGGTATTTCCAAAAGATGGAGCTCAGGAGTGACCCATTATGCAAAATATGCAAAAATCTCTGAAACCATGGCAGTAAGAATTGAGATTTAAAATGGAGTGAACTGAGATTTAAAATGGAGTAAAAGGTGTGAAGTGCCATCTCCGGGAAGAAGAGGCACAGATGACAACTGAGTGTGTGTTAGGCGTCTCAGGTCAAGTAACAACGAGACACCACCACTCTTGCCAGAGTGCCCACGTCTGAAATGCTGACACTGCTGTGTGCTGGTCAGATGTGCAGGAGCCCCGTTTCACCGCTGGCGGAACATACCGTGCTGTGCTGCTCACTTTGGGCACAGACAGTTCTTATAAAACCGGACATTCTCTTTGCACACTGTCGAGCAATTGCTGGGCATTTATCCAGCTGATCTGGAAGCTTCTGTCTACAGAGGACCTGTGCACATGCATGCTTGTAGGAGCTTTATTTGTACTGACCCAAAGCTCGGAAGGAACCAAGATATCCTTCAGGAGGTAAGAGCAGACCTATACCGTGATGCTCCAGGGAAACAGAGCACCATTCAGCGCTGAAGTATCCAGCTACCAGTGGGTGTGCAGCACATGGCACTGCCTGTTATTTAGTGCACAAGTATGATTCCAACTGCGGCATGTGCAGGAAAGAGCAAAACTATGGAGCAAGTGAAAGATCAGTGGCTGCCAGGGATAAAGCCCCAAGCACAAGGAGGGACAGGCAAAGCACGAAAGGTCCTGGGGGCAGTGAAACCGCTTTGCATGATGCTCCTGTGGAGAACACACATCATTGGACATTTCTCACATACTGTAGAATGTACGAGGCCAAGAGCGAATCTTCCTGTTGACTGAACCTTGTCTGAGAATGAGAACAGCAAAAGTAATGTCTCACCACTCCCGGGAGGTTCAGAGGGCCACTCCTGGGGACTTGGAGTACAGGAGGCATTCGATGCTCACCATATCTCCCAGTCCACGCATGTGTTTGGCTGGTACAGAAGACAGATGCGTCTCTCCAGGAGAATGGCAGCGGGCTGTCACAAACTTACCCAGCTGGTGTCTCCAGCTGCAGCTGCTGCTGCCAATGGGGCCTCACGAGTCTGAGCAAATCAGCTCAGCTCACTGCTACCTAGCTATTGATAAAGTGACTGCTTTTTAAAATTTTTTAATGTCTGTTGGCAAAAAGCCTCCAGAAATCATTTGTTTTCAGCTTCCCAGATTGGCAACGGACTTTCGCTGTCACTCCTCAGGGATCCATCCATTCTTCAGCCCTATGTTCTAATTCAGTCTGCAGGGACCTTTCATTTCAGTAAGATATCTCCCTGGCCCAACTCACTGGTGATATTATATAGATTTGGCCAGGGAAACGAGAGGTAGTTGGTGAGGTATTTATACACTGGAGGATGGGAAACACATATGCCCCAATCCCAGCTGACTTCTACCCCTGCGAAATTTCTCAGGCCCTGTGCTCCTGATCCCTTTCTTACTATAAAAGAGGCCCAGCATCTGGTAGGTAACATGGTCCTCCTGTGTGTGTACCACCGTGGCTCATATACTGAGTGACCCAGAAGCTGCTAGCTTCAAGTAGCACCCGGAATAACAGGAGGTACCGAATCAGGTGGAGATGTCCAAGGTGCCCTGTCCTTCAGCTGCTGGCCCACAGGTCAAGGTGGTCCGAAGTGTCCGTGGTGAGGAGAGGTGCTATTTGCAGCCCTTGTAGTGCAGACAGCGATGATATTTCTATTTGATTTAATTCTAGAACCGGAGCCGGAAGAGCCTAAAGAATTTTCAGAATGTGTAAAAGTTGAAGAAGTGGAAGAAGTTAAGGAGGAGGAAGAAGAAATAGAAATTAGTGAAGAACAAACAATACCAGCCAATTTGGAAAGGCTCTGGTCTTTCACCTGCGACTTAACCAAAGGTCTTAATGTGAGCAGCCTTGCCTGGAACAAACTGAATCCCGTAAGTTATCAAACATTTTCATCCATTTATTGGCAGTTATCAAATTTTAATAATAAAGCTTGTTTTTCTGTCAGATACAGGGCAGAGATTGAAACTGACCACAGCCCCTAGTTTTAGGGTGTCTCTACAACAAGCTCCTGTTTCACAAAGGGAAAGTGCAAATAGTTCCAAAATAGGGTTTTCTCTTTCTACGTGAAAACAGTGCCATTTCTCTCTTAGAAGCTGTATTTGGCAGTGGCACTTTCTGAGTTCACGCCCGGGCTATCCTGAGAAGTGGCAGGATCTCCACATGAGTGATGGATTCTATCAAAACTCATGCACCCAAATGTGGTTTTTCTTCAAAGTCATCCGACTTGGAAGTGTGTGCTTACTCCAAGGACCCAGTAAACATGCAAAAATAATTTTGAGCTTCTTTACCGTATGTTATGCCAATAGCAGCAGATGTGTAGGTAGCATTTGGTACATTCCAAGCACTGCTCTGAGCACCTTATCTGTTTTGATACCAGCACAAAAGCTTCATGAGTTATATGTGCTGTTGTCCCCATTCTGTTGATAAATCAAGGGAAGTACAAAAGGGATAAATAACTTCTCTAGTGTCACACGACTCATGAGTGAGGTGGCCAGGGCTAGCAATGCTCTGGTGCCAAGGCTCTTCCCTTTCCCCCTGAATTATGGGAGGTCACCTCAGTGTGCCTGAGTGAGTCGTCAGGCGGGCAGTCAGATCATAGATTTTCTTGGAAAAAGGAGATAATTACAGATTAAAAACACAGACTTTCCCCAGAGTTTGTAAACTGGTTCTGCAGACAATTCCCAATTTGAATTCCAATAATCTTTTGGGAGATGGCTATATCCTTGAAATAAACATGTGGTGTGTTTTTAAAGAGGTCCAAACTAATTTGTCTCTTAAAAATCATATCATAGTATGCATATTTAGGAATCAGTCCTAGGATTTCACTGGCACGTTTTAGGTACTGTATACAAACACGATGGTTGTCATGGTCATTGAAAAACAAAGTCTGTAATCACTTTTATTGAACATAAATACACATTATTTTAATTGTTTATTATTTTTAATAAAAGTGATTTTCCCTTAGATTTGTCTTTATGAAACCATATTTAAGAACATGTTACAGGGCATAAGCACCTGCCTTGCAAGCAGGCAGTTGTGAGTTCGATCCCTGGTACCGATAAAAATGAAAAAGACAAAAAAAAATGTTACAGATAAGTGGGATTTATTACATTAATAGCAATCTGTAATAAAGGTATATGAAACATTTTTAGAAGCAACACAGCACTGGCTCTTTTTAATTAATGCACTGATACTGGGATTAAATTAAATCATTTGTGTGAGGCTAACTGAACTGAATTGTGAATGGCATATATGATTCTTATTAATTCATTCTACAGATATTGAACATTCTTTCTGCTGGCACTGCTAAGACACAGGACATATAGCAGTAATTAAATTACAGGCTCTGCCCATAAAATAATTTCTAAGGGCTTTGGGAAGGAAAATAAACCAAGCTGGGGGGCACTGAGAGAGCCTGCTTGAGTGCATGCTAGTGAGAGGAATGCCTTTGAGCAGTGGGTTTGTCAACGGCCGATCTAGAGGTAGAGAGGTGACACCTGTCAAAAGCAGAGAGGGATCGTGGACAGATGATGGTGCTGTGAGAGTGCAGGGTGACCAGAAAATACGTCTGAGATAAATGCATTCTGGTTACAAAATTCACCCTGACTTTGACCAATCATTAAACTTTTGTCTATCTGTATTCACAAAATGCATTTTTGGGGTTGTTTGTTGGGTTGGGTTTTTTTTTTTTTTTTAGACAGGGTCTCACCCTCTGTAGTTCAGGCTGGGCTTCAACTCATGATGTGGCCCAGGCTGGCCTCAAACTTATGCCAATCCTTCTGCCTCAGCCTCTGGAGTGATGGAATTATAGGTGCATGCCACTATACCTGGCTCGCATACATGTTTCTTGACATAGTCTGCTATATTTGTTGGCTCAAGGAACTGTAAGAAAATACCTTAGCTGATGTAGCTTGAACACCTACAGTTTATTTTCTAACAGTTTTGGAGGTTGGAAAGTTCAGGATCAAGCTGTTGGCCAATTAGGTTCCCAGTGAGAGTTTCTTTTTCCCCCTTCTCACTCACTGTGCCTTCATGGAGTGGAGAGGGAGCTCTGCTCTCTCTTCTTAAAAAGTTGCCACTCTGACCCAGTTAAGCCCCCACCTTATGAGCTCTATGAACCTTAAACATTAATGACCTCCAGAAGCCCCATCTCCAAATTCAGTCATTTGGAGCTTAGGGCTTCCATGTAAGTTTTTTTTTTTGTTGTTTTTGTTTGTTTTTTTTTTTTTTTTTGGTACTAAGGATCAAACTCACAACCTCATGCTTGTGAGGAAGGCACTTGTGTCACTGAGTTAAACTCCCAGCCCACACAGAAGAATTTTGGAGGGTACATTCAGCCCAAAATACCTGTTCTTAATTTCAATGGCTTTCATTTTATATTAAAATAATTAGTCACCCTCAAAACCTATAAGATATTAAAATATACAATGCATTCTTGGAAGATGACTTCAGTGTGTAAGAGAGCTTGTTATAATGAGTTCTTCCTAGGTACACAATCTTCTGGAATTGAGGAATATTATGCTAACTACTTTTATTTGCTTAGGAAAATATTGGAGTGAAAATTGATGATGTCTTAGTTACTTTTTCTCACTGCTGAGACAAAATACTGGACAACCGAGATTAAAGAAGGAAAGGTTTATTTGGGTCAGGGTTTGTAGAGGTTTATTCCATAGTCAGCTGGCTCCAAGGCAGGTGGCATGGAAGAGAGGTGTCGCAGAGGAGAAGCAATTCATGGTGGGCAGAGGGCAGCAAAGCAAGCAAGCAACAGTAGCTCCTCCTTCTTCCTCTTTTCTGTTCTATCTAGGCTGTCCATCTTAGGGCAGGTGGCAAGCCAATCAGTGGACTAATTTAGTTAGCACACAGCCTCGATTTCAACGTCTCACACTGTATACCCAGCCACCTCTGAAAATGCTCTCCCATGACCCCACGAGACTTTGCAGGGAACATCTAGTTACAAGCCAGAACAGACAGCGTAGCGATATTTTTCATTCTCAGTAGAAAACTTTGACCAGTATTTTAAAGTATAGTTTGCTAATGGTTATCATTATACATGTGCTGATATTCTTATGCTATCTTCTTTTATTTTAAATTTATTATTGTGGTTTTCAGGACCTTCTAGCTGTTGGGTATGGACACTTTGGATTTAAGGAGCAAAAGAGAGGATTGGCTTGTTGCTGGTCAATAAAGAATCCCATGGTAAGCTGAATGGGAAAAAGAACCATTTGTATTTAGTTAAATATTGACAAAATTCTCATGAAGTATTTAGTTGTATGTGATAATTAAACAAGTTCCAGGAGATTTTATAATTTAAAATGTTTCTTCTTTATTTGTCTTGGTTTAAATCTGTAGCCATTAACATTTGTTCTTGTTGACATAGGAGAAAAAGAATTTATTTATGAATTCACTCAATAAATAATTATAGTGCATGAATTTAGGTCTGAAGGCACAGAATTGAACCACTATTGAATCATAGCTAATTATAAAGAAAGACTCTGTAAAAACTTTTGAAAATTAGACATTTTTAAAACTTGGTTGTTTCTTAACATGGGGTATGATCAAAATACGGCAAATGTTTAAATTGAAAAACGTCACTGTAAAAGACACATCCAATCATTATTCTCCCTTGAAATCGTTCACCTCTTTTTGAACACACTCATCCTATATGCACACCACTTTCCGAAGCAGCTCTGTAAGTCTTCTTTCGTGAGTGTCTTTAGCTGCGCTGTCCTAGCTGCCTCCATGTCCTGAACTGACTTGGGGGAAGAGCCGGAAGCCCATGGCATCAGATCCGGTGCAGAAGGTGGGTGAAGGCACACTGTGGTGTTTCTATGAGCTGGCTCTTTTGGGGGTGCTTGGCAGCAGTGTTCACTTATTTCTGATCACCCCTCCTGAAGGTACCCAGGAAAGAGGACTTGGGGACTGCTTCAGACCGTGACAAGCATGATAGCAGAAGGGGCAGTGCTTGAGGGGAACTTTGGCCGTGTGTCTTTTACTGCAGCACGCTTTTTAAATCCACCAGACACTTCCTGAATACCTCATGTGGGAGCAGCTCCTTATTACCTGATACTCTTCAGATAGCACAGGTTAATATGACTGTACTGTCATGAATTTTGCAAACAGAATGCGTCCATATCTATGATCTTTTTTTTATTACTCAGCCATAGTCAATGTGACGTGGGAGACTTAGAGAAGGGCCAGGAAATTACACAAAAGTGATGTAAGATTTTATAAATAGCTCATCTGTCAGGAACCGGGTTGACACAGCATATAAAATCCAGAAATGAGTCATTTTACACGTGAAAGGGTGAATGTGAAAGCCATCGTTGTTAGCCTGTCTTCTTTTCCACTGATTAGGAAGAGGAAAGGATTTAGATGAGGCTTGGTGGGTCTGTAGAATAGAGCAGTGTATTATGGTTCAGAAATAGGTAAATATTGGCGGGCAGAAGCATCTGTGACAGACAAAGTGGGTGCAGCCCCTCTTTTCATGAGGAAAGAGCTGAGCGATAGCCACATGAACCCTGCTGAGCCAGCACAAAATACAGTCCTGCAGCGGCCCCCAGCTCACTGCCTAAAGCCGGGGCTTAGCTTTACCAGAATAAAAGGGTGTCTCACTGTGGTTTCCATGCATACTCAGAGTTACTAGCAAGACAGGAGTAGCTGAACATAGACCAACTCTCCCAGTATTCCCAGCACCACCAGACTGGCCCCAGCCATTGCAATATCCTGCCTGCCTTTGGTCTATAATAGCAAGTGGAACTGTGTTTTTACTTCAGTGGCCGGAGCGTGTTTATCCGAGCCCCTACGGTGTTACTGCTGTGGATTTCTCCATCGGGACTCCTAACTTGCTAGCAGTCGGCTATTACAACGGCACCATCGCCATTTATAATGTGCAGAGCAGTGGGAACGTCCCAGTACTGGACAGCAGGTGAGAACCAGGAACTGACCAGCGTGGCATGCACGGCTTTCTGGGGAGACTTGCTGTAGTTTATTCGGTGTGAAGAGGATATGTGTGTGCTCACCAAGCGAGTGACCATGACTTTAAAACGTTTGAGACTTTGCTGTATTGTTTCTCCAGCTGGATGCTGTCATAATGATCTTTGATTTTTTAAAAAATTTTTGAACTCAGGGCCTTCAAACTGTGCTACCTCTCCAGCTCACTTGCTCTTACTTCTCTCTCTCTCTGTGTCTTTCTTTTCTCTGTCTCTGTTTCTGTATGTTGGTTTGAACAGGCTCTTATTAACTACATTGTCCAGGCTGGGCCCAAACCTGCAGCCTTCCTGCTTCAGCCTCTCAGAGTGCTGGGGTTACAGGCATGCGCCCAAGCTTGGCTTCTTTTTTCTTCTCTGCTTCCTTTGGCTGGACGTGCTCTGCTGCTGTCTCCTGAGGACTGTTCTTTCCTTGGTATTTCTACTCCATGTTCCCTCATCACAGCCTGTGTCACACCAAATGCCTTCTATTTGCAGATAGACAGGCATGCCTGAGTTTAAAGATCAGCCGGCTGACACCCAGGTCACACCTTTGTATTCTAGGTGTATCTCACCATTCCAGACATGCAGCAGTACAGCTATATATGTTTAATTCATAGTGAAAGAATGGGTTCCGTTGAGAAAAATAGCAAATGGAAGGTGAAAAATAATCATATAGATTACTTTTGTAGTAGACCAGAAATATTGAGACCAAGCCGTGCTATTATATTTTTATCAGTGTTTGAATAAACTTAGAACAGGAAATAACTGTGAATGCAGCAATTTTTAAACTTAATTTTGAAATTATTCACACAGCTTTGTAAGAGTGGACATTTGTGTTTGTTTCTGGGAGGAAGAGGGTCCATAAATTTTTACCCATCATTCATTATTCTTTTAAAAAGTTTATAACTATTGCCTTGGAAAGTTTCTATTAAAAAACTACGAGTTAGCAGTAGGAATGGAGTACCCATTAATTTGATAGGAACAGAGTCAATACTAAGAGAAAACATTTTAATTTTCCAGAAAAAATTTTAATTTTTCAGAAAAATCCAGAAATCGAATATCAATTTAATAGGCGATCCTGAAACACAGCAAGAACTGTTTACTTGAACAAGATTTAAATGGCTAATTGATTTAAAATATGAAAAAATTATAAAAATGAAGATACTTTTATTCAGTGTGTCTAAAAGTAAATAAAAGTCAATTTACAGGACTGAGCTAAGGAAGGATGAATCACACAGAGTAATCAAAGCAGATCTTGAGAAGAAAATACTTGTTTCTGTATTCTTGTTAAGGTAGCTAATTGTAAGCAGTATACTTACAATTCAGTAAAATTTTCCTTTTGTAAGATTAGGGAAAAAAGCCATAGTGAATATTATGGCAGAGGGATAACCTATGTTGTTTTTTAAAATACTTAAAAATCCGGTTGACTGATAAAAGCATCACTGCATAAATGTTATGATTCTCCAAAGTGCTGTGTCTATCACGAATATCATCCTGCTAAGGCTGTGCTGGGCCTTCTCCCCTGTTTTAGTGAGTCACCCCAAAAACATGTGGGACCTGTATGGCAACTGCAGTGGATAGAGCAAGACCGAGGGACAACAGGGGATGACAAAAGAGAATTCCTCGTTTCCATCTCGGCAGACGGAAGGGTCTCCAAATGGGTCATACGGAAAGGCCTGGACGCCCATGGTAAGAGACAGCTCTTTCTCTGGTTGCTGTGGAATTAGAAATCCCCATGAGCCACGTGTGACGTATTTATTTTGGGCTGGCCAATAAGAAAGACAGTTGGTTTGAATGTTTTTCTTTGAAGCATTTAGTTTTCTTTTTGCTAATTTTAGCCTAATTCCACACACAAGGTGGGAGCCCACAAAGCATTTTCGGCAGGAGAGGCACGCATAGTACTGCATTGCTCTTTTATGTGTGGTAAATAATGAGTTACTTTTCTTCCCCCTTCAAAGATCTGATGCGATTAAAACGAACTACTGTTGGCAGCAACAAAAAAGGAGGGGAAAAGGACAAGAAAGGGGAGGCTTTAATATCACGCCAGGCTCCGGGAATGTGCTTTGCTTTTCATCCCAAGGTAAATTCTTTCAGCCTGTTACTTACTACCCATAAAAACATCCCAGAGTTGAATGTCAGGAGAGATAAACCACGACAAAGTGCTAACATGGCAATAAATATTGTGCTTTTTACATGGTGGTGGCTTCCGCCCTAAGGGAGGACGGCGCATTTTGGGTGCTCTGCTTGCTTTTCTGGGTAGCGGAGAGTGCGTACTCCTGAAGAACTGTGTGCAGATTCTCCACCATTCTATCCTGCTGTGATGACCCAAAGCCTGCTGTAGGGGGCTCTCCATGGCAGTAAGAGTGGTGGGCGTCAGGATCAAGGGTTAAGGAGGCCACCTGAGGTCACATGCACACAACCCAAATCAAATCAGAGCACAGCTAACGGAGCTTGACTTTTTTTTTTTTTAAATTTCATTTAAAAGGAAAAAGAGAAAAAATAAAACAAAACAAAGCAATGTAAGGGTACGATTAATACAGAACTACAAAAAAAAAAAAAAAAAAAAAAAAAACCAGTAAGAAATCACCAGTTAATAGATTACAATTATTCCAGAGACAGTTGCTCAAGTCACAGTATCAAAGCATACAAAGTGGACATTCAAACAGTGAGACTGCAAACAGTTGTGTTCAATGATCCAACCAAAAACATTAATATGGGCATCTATTTAACACCCCTAAACACACTTGCAGTTGTATACTTTAGAGTACTTTTTTTCCTTTCTTTTTTACAACAAAATTTACACATTTTGGGTTTTATTGCTCCTTAGTTCTTATTACTTTTTTTTTTTGGAAGAGAATAAAGTCAAATATGGCAAAACAAAGCTGTCAGTCAAAACCAAAGATAGATATAGCACATGATGTAAAACAGAGTACAAGGTTATCGACAATGGTTACCATAATGCCTCTTGCTTCCTTAAAAAGAATTGTCTACCTCATTAGGTATTATAAAGTTGAACAAAACAGTAGAGAACAAGACCAATAAAACCTAAACCTTGTAAACACTACAGGACTTCCAAAGAAGACAATAGTCAAACCAGAATGGGCATCTTAGTGAATCTTGTTGCCTTCAAAGTAGTTGCCTATACCTTCAAAATTGATACTATCATACAGAACGGAACAGAGTCTAATCAGTCAAAACAAAATAGTGGGAGTATTGCAGGACTTCAAATCAAGTTAAATAGGAAATCAAATAAGTTACTATAATATATCCTGCTAATTTTTTTGATTTTTCCCCTTAATTAAAAAAATCATAAAAAATAACTAAATTTTTTTTAATGAATAAGGAAGGGATTGAGATAAAGAGGACATAACATCATAACAGTACAGGTCAAAGCATGACAGTTTAAGCAACCTAGTGCTTCACCACCAAATAACCCGGTTTAATAGTAGTTACCATAGTGTCTTTTTCATTAAAATATTTGAATATAACTTCATATACTATAGCTTCAAACATATCAAGTCAGTGTAAAACCATTCAAGTGGATGAAACGGAGCTTGACTTTTTCTGATAGCTTTTACCTGGGGGTAAGCAGTTAAGCAGTTCAGACACTGTGATGGACATCTAAGAAGCTGAATCCACGGTGGTTTTTTTGATTATGTCTCATATAATTGTCTTTTAAGCATCACTGTGTTCCACCCATTTATGCAAACAACACCTGAGCTATTTCTGCATTGTACACTGTTATCCCAACCGTGTTTAAACCTCTTTACCCTTTCTGATCCATGCATACCACTGCCAATATATGTAAGGCCTTGATCATTTTTCACTTTTACTACCATAGCCATCTTCTAAATGCCTTCATTCTCAAATCCTGTAATCCACCTTCACTTAGAAAGGTAGATTACAGTGAACGTTCTCATCAAGGGTAAGAGTGGGGACTTCTCTTCCAAGAGACTTATATCTGCATCTGAAGATATTTTGGGTCATTGCAGCTGCAGTAGGTCAGGATGAAGTCAGAGAAGAGCTGCTGGAGCCTAGCAGGTAGAGACCAGCCAGGATGCTGGTGTTTTGCTAAATCCTGCAGGATACCAGAAGCTACCAGCCTCTTGCTACCATCCACTGCTCAAAGAATTATCTGACCCAAAATATCACTAGTCCTTGGTTAAGAATTGTTGGTCTGTTGTCTACACATTGTCCTTGTGTGAGGAATTTGAGATGATTGCGTGATCTGTAAATAAAGACTATTTTCTTTTCCAATGTGATTGCCTTTTTAATTGTTTTCTTGCATGATAACATTGATTAGAACCTCCAGTACCATGAGGCATTGAGGCAGTGAAAGCAGATACTCTTGCCATTACATTTCTAGTTTTGTGAACACTTTCATTAAGGATGGATGTTGGATTTTGCCAAATGCTTTCTCTGTATCTATTAAGATGACCAAATGTTTTTTATTTGTAAGCTTGCTAATATGTTGAACGCTTATGCCTGAAATAAGTCCCACTGGATTGTGACTTGTGACCTTTTTAATGTGCCACTGGCTTCGGTTTGTTAAATTTTTGTGTAAATGTTTGCATTTTTGTCTGTAAGGGATATTGGTATTCGGCTTTTTTGTTGGGTCTTTGGTTTTGATACCAGTATCATGATGACCCCATACAATTGTTTTGTAAAGGATAATTTGCATAAAATTAGCATTATGTATTATTATACTTGATAGAATTAATCAACCTTCTGAGCCTAGGATTTTCCTTATAAGGAAATTTTAAACTATAAATTCAAGTTTTTAATGGATACAGGGCCATGATGACCATCTATTTCTTTTAAAATCAGCTTTGATAATGTGTGTCTATTAAGAAATTTGCCTATTTCCCATTCTAGTTGACTATTATCTTCTTTTAAAGTCCTGTAATGTCTCCAATGTTTTGGTTTTATTCTTTACTGTTTTGTTCAATTTTATTATAACTGATGATGTATGCAATTCTTTTTAAGATAGCAAGAGGCAGTATGGTAACCATTGTTGATCACCTTGTATTTTGTTTTTACATTATCTATTATGTCCATCCTTTTGATTTGACTGACTCTGTTCTGTTATGTCACATTTGGTTTTACTCTCTTAAAAAAAAGTAATAAGAACTGTGGGAGTAATAAAACCCAAAATGTGTAATTGTCATTGTACAAAAGAAAGGAAAAGAAAGTGCTCTAAAGGATATAACTGTGTATATATTTAAGTGTATAAGATAGATAACCATATTACTGAGTTTTGTTAGATCATTGAACAGAACTGTTTGCAGTCTCACTGTTTGAAAGTCCACTTTATATGCTTTAATTTTGTAACTTGAACAACTATTTCTAAGATAACAAAATGTAATCTATTAACTAGTGATTTCCTACTGTTTATTTTTTCTGAAATTCTGTATAACTTGTACCCTTTTTCTGTTTTTTTTCTTTTTCTCCTAAAATAAAATTTAAAAAAAAAAGAAATTTGCCTATTTCATCTAAGTTGTTGGATTTATTATAGGCATAATATTCTTTTGGTATCATTTAATACTTATAGAATATAATTCCTTATCTCAGTAATTCCTAATTTTACTTTCTCTCTTTTTCCTGATTAATCTGTCTGGAAGTCTTTTGAGTTTTCTCTTTGCTGATTCAGTGGTCTCCGTATGTAGCCCAGTTGATCCTGAACTCCCGGAGTCAAGTGACCCTTCTGTGTCAGCCCCGCATAGTAGCTATGACCGTGAGTGCTCATGACAATGCCCAGCTCGGTTTTATTGATCTATTGAGCGAGGTTTGGATTTAGCTGATTTTCACCAGGTTTTTCTGATCTCTGTATACAGTGGTACCTCAGTTCACAAACTTAGTTCATCCCGTGATTCAGGGAGAGATGGCCGTGGTCATGTTGATCACGGCATGCAGAGTTTGCTAAGAGAAGCAAAACTTTGCCAAAAGCTTTTGTTTATGAACTGAATTGTTTGAGAACAGAAGCCTTTGTGAACCGAGGTATTGCTGTAATTGATTTATACGGTGACGTTCTTTCTTCTGAGTTTTGGTTTTAATTTACTCCTACTTTTCTTCGCCTGTGAGATGACAGCTGAGGTCACTGATTTGCAGTGTTTCTTGTTCTCTAATGCATGTATTTGTGCCGTAACTTTCTAAGTTCTGCTTTGACAGCACCCTACAAATTGAGATGTTTTAATTTCCATTTTTACTCAGTGCAAAATATTCACTACCTTCTCCTATATTTTCTGCTTAAAGATGTGTAATACAGTGTTTAAGTTTTTGATGATTTTCCAAAGATTGTTCTGCTACAGATTTCTAGCTGAGTTCTTCTATGATCAGAGACTTTACCTTTCATGACTGGAATATTTTTGAACCCCATAAGATCTGTTATAAAGCTCAGAATGTGCGTTTTTAGATAGCAGTGCACTTGACAGAAGTATGTACATGTTCTGCAGTTAGGGAGGATATTCCACAGACAGCATCAGATGAAAGTGCTTGATAGTTTTGCTCTAGTTTACTTTTTGCTGATGTTTTTCCTATTTCTTCCATCAGTTCCTTCTATCATTGTGAGGAAAGGGATTGTCCAACCCTAGTTACTGAACTGCCTATTTTTTTCTGTTAGTTTTCTTCATATATCTTAAAGCTTTGTTACTAGGACCAGGCAATACCCTCTGACACACTCTTGACTAACTCCCTTGTCATTATGAAATAGCCTTACTTGTAACTGTTAATACTGTCTATCCAGAATGCTAATTTTAATTTTAAAATTTAAATTTAAATTTTTACATTTCTTTTTTTCCACTTTTCTTTAAGCCAGTGTTATCATAGTGTATAATTTTCTGTCTCTTTCTGTTAGACCTATTTGTGTTTTTAGACATGTTTTAAAAGCACTTTTCTTGTGAGCAGCGTATAGTTTAGTCTCCCTTCTTTTATATAATCTTTAAATTTCTGCTTTTTAATTGTGATTTTTGTATTTAAGGAGAAAAAGAAAAAAACAGAAAAAGGGTACAAGTTATACAGAATTTCAGAAAAAATAAACAGTAGAAAATCACTAGTTGATAGATTACATATTGTTATCTTAGAAATAGTTGTTCAGGTTACAAAATTAAAGCATATAAAGTGGACTTTCAAACAGTGAGACTGGAAACAGTTTTGTTCAATGATCCAACAAAACTCAATAATATGGTTATCTATCTTATACACTTAAATATATACGCAGTTATATCCTTTAGAGCACTTTCTTTTCCTTTCTTTTGTACAATGACAATTACACATTTTGGGTTTTATTACTCCCACAGTTCTTATTACTTTTTTTTTAAGAGAGTAAAACCAAATGTGACATAACAGAACAGAGTCAGTCAAATCAAAAGGATGGACATAATAGATAATGTAAAAACAAGATACTAGGTGATCAACAATGGTTACCATACTGCCTCTTGCTCTCTTAAAAAGAACTGCCTATATCATCAGTTATAATAAAATTGAACAAAACAGTAAAGAATAAAACCAAAACATTGGAGACATTACAGGACTGTAAAAGAAGATAATAGTCAACCGGAATGGGCATCATAATGAATCTTCTGGTCTTCACAGTTGTTGCCTATACTTTTGAACTTGGTACTATCAAGCAAAGCAGAATAGGGGAAAATCAGTCAAAGCAAGATGGTGAGGACTATACAGGATTTCAAATCAAGTTAATAGGAAATCAAAGTGGGTTACTATAATGTATCCTGCTATTTTTTATTTTTCCCTTAATTAAAAAGATAAAAATAAAAAAGTAAATAATTAAAAAAAGGAGACTGAGATAAAAGAGGGCATAACAACAAAACAGCGCAGGTCAAAGCATAACCATTTAAGCAAAATAGTGTTTCACCACAAGACATCCCGACATAAAAGTAGTTACCATAATGTCTCTTTCCTTGAAATCTTTGAGTATAACTTCGTATAATGTAGCACCAAATATATCAAGACAATGTAAAGCCATTCAAGGGAATGACAGTATTACAGGGTATTTAGAACCAACTATCAGAAAATGAACAATGGTTTCTGTATAATCTACTTGTCTATAAAATTTTTTGCTTATATTATCACATATAATAAAATACAATAAGATACAACCTGTTAAGACTGATGGAGACAGAAGTTAATTGTGATTTTTAAATTGTTTTTGTTCAATTTGATTATAGATTGTCGTTAAGTTTGAGGTTATCATCTTGCTTGACTGGCTTATTGAAGGGACAGAGTCTAAAATGTCTAACGGTAGAATTTAACTTATCTGTCCTCCTTGCCACGAAGCAGGATGGTGAGGAGATATCTCCTGCCCAGAGCTCTTCATAGGGTGAACTGAGCTGTCTGTTGCAGTGTTCAGCTTCTGACTCACCCCTTCCTGTCTCCTGCATAATGCTCTTTGATGAGTATATTTACCAGGCACCCCAACTTTTGTCAGCACCCTTGAAGGCTTCTAGTGAAATATAACCATTTACAGAGGATGTGGACATAATCATTACGCAAATTTTAAAAATGAAGTGAAATTTCTACCCCATAATACATTAAAAAAAAAACTTTAGAAGAAAGTAAGAAAAATCTCTATGACTTCAAAGTAGGGAAAGGTTTCTTGGATGCACTAATATTTTAATTTGTGGAAGAAAATCAGAATATCAGCTTATTAAAGACAGTTTCCTTGTTTACTTTTGTTGTTGCTGAGACAAAATACCCAACACCCACGGTTAAAGGAGGAAAGGTTTATTTAGCTCAGTTTGTGGAGGTTTCAGTTTGTAATTGGCTGGCTGCTAGGAAGGGTGGCACATGGCAGAGGGGCAACACTTCATGGTGGCAGAAGGCCACAAAACAGCCAAGCAGCACGCAAGTGGTGGCAGCAGCCTGTCTCTCTCTGATCCCTTCCAGGTTCCTGCCCTTTGAGTCGCACCACCACACCCAGGGTGGGCCTCCCACTATCCGCAGCCAGAACTACGCCAGAGCAAACAGTGGACTAATTTAGTAATCACACACGCTTAATCTTGTCATCACACACTCTAGATCCAGCCACCTCTGAAAGCCCCATTTTTGACCTCATGAAGCTTTGCGGGGACATCTAGACACAAGCAATAAGACAGTAAAAGAAAGTAAGCAGAAAACCCACACACTGGCAGATAATATTTGCAATGTAGGTAATAGACAAAGCAATAAGATCTAGGATAAAGGACTTACACACTTAACACTTTAAAAGACAGATTATTAGTGAAGTTGTTAGGAGATATAGACAGAAAAAGAAACACCATTGGCCAAAAAGCCTAAAAAAGGTCCTCGACTTCACTAACACATGAGATGTAAAACCATATGAAAATTTACATCTAATGGAATGGGCACGCATACTATCCGATGCAACCAACTGTTTAAGAAAATATAATGTGGGTGAAAGGGAACTCTTACACGCTGCCCATGAATGCAATGTCGTGTGTAGTTTAAAGAGTGTGTAGGACCCGCAGTCTGGTAGTTGTACTGTGTGTGCGCTGAGTGTTGTGCTTCAGGCTTTGATGAGCATGTGGGGTGCTTGGGAGCATTCTCAAGTGCAGGGTTGGCTGGCACCTGGGGATCTGCAGCTCCACAGTGCTTCCAACTGGTGCTGGGATCGCTGTATGACCACGCCCCACATGGTCAGGACTGGGACCCTGTCCCTCAGTGCAAAGCACACTTCATATCCCCACTGGGTACACACATTTAGCATTAAAGATGTCTGAGGTGCTGTGGAGTTTAACCTTTCATTCCCAGCAATAATCATCTCTCAGCATCATATGCATAAACATTTATCAAGTCGGTGGTATTTATTGTTAGAACACCTGTCTTGTCTTTGACTTACACTATGGAAAGAGCCACTCTTGTTTTTGTAGATGGTTCATTTAATCGTCAGGCAACTTCAAATCTTAGAAAGTCTTTTGCTGATTTTAATCCAGGTTTTCCACATAAATTTTAGATAGAAAATTAAATATGGCCATCTATTCCAGCAAAGGAATTACTGTAAGATCATAATGGAAGGAGAAAGGCAACTGATAACTGTATTCAAGATAGTGTTCCTCTTTGGTTTCTGAGTTAACTTTAATACATCCTGAATTGTCTGATCTGCCAATGCGTTCTGGTTTCTTGTATTGTAGGACACAAATATCTATTTGACTGGCACTGAAGAAGGTCATATTCACAAATGTTCCTGTTCATATAATGAGCAATACTTAGAGACCTATAGAGGACATAAGGTGAGTTTAATTATGATAGGCGTGGGAAATTTATCACAGTATATCTGAAAAAAATAATATCAAATCTTTAATTTCTCCTTACAAATTATAGAAGTCACATTTTTTGTTTCTAAAGGCTTTTGCTTATAATATCTTGCTGATTCCAGAGTGAAATTCTCTCTGGTCCACCCCTAGTCTTTGTATCTTTTTATGATTCTCCCTCCAGGTTTTTTCATTTTCTCCCTCATTTCTTTGTTTTTCTTAATACTATTATTATCTTTTAAAAAACATGTAATAATACTAATAGTTAGTGATGATTATAGCAATTTATTTTTGTCTTTCTACATGGAATGATTAAGGAAAAAGTCAGTTTTTGATCTTATTATCTATTAAAATAATACCCATGCAACAATGGTGGTGTATAAATCTAGAAATCATCTTGTTTTTAGTTCACTGGCCAAGTCTGAGAGACATGAAGTTAAATACCATTTATGTGTTTTATTTTTTCTATGTCTAGGGTCCGGTGTATAAAGTTACGTGGAACCCATTTTGTCCCGATGTATTCTTGAGCTGTTCAGCGGATTGGGGTGTCATGATATGGCAGCAGGAGAATTTCCGGCCCTTTCTGAGTTTTTATCCAACAACTCACGTGGTTTACGATGTCGCCTGGTCCCCCAAATCATGCTATGTATTTGCGGCTGCCAATGAGAGCAGAGTGGAGATCTGGGACCTTCACGCTAGCACGTGAGTGCCCATATGGATGCCTCCTCAGGGTCATTTCCAGCCGACGCACTTCAGACTCAGTGATGCATGGTGGTTTTAGCATCTGTGGAGAGTACCCTTGCCCCTCTAACACCAGTAACCAGCTTATTTCATCAGCCTTTTGTTGTTGTTGGTTTTGTTTGTTTTGTTTTATGAGCCAGGGTCTCACTCTGTAGTTTCAGGCTGACCTTGAACTCACTGTGTAGCCCAGGCTGGCCTTGAACTCACAGTGATCCTCCTGCCTCGGCGTCCCAAGTGCTGGGATCACAGATATGTGCCACCATGCCTAGTTCCTTGAGTCTTTATGAGTAAAGCTGGATGCCAGACTGCTGCATTAACACTGCCTGCTTATAACACACGGAGCCTTAAAGACGTCTGAGTGGAGAGTTGGCATTATCCGGTCCTCAGCACCGGCTGCCATGTGCACCTTGGGTCCTCACTCACTTGTGTTAATTGCCTGGTGTGCGGTGTGAAGTGTGCAGGAAGATGTGTTACATGTCTACTCTACAGTGAGATTCTCTCCAATAAGATAAAAGGGCAAACAAAATTACTACTTTTGCAGTGTTTACTTTTTGTCTTATCTCATTTCAAAACATATTCAAAGGACTACGCACTTAACAAGATTTTCTATTGAAGATACTACACAAAGGTGATCAGATTCTTCTATTCTTTTTAATACAAAAAGTCCATCTGTTCTCTTTAGTATGAAAGTTATACAACACTGCAGTAAAATGCTCAATGATTCTATTTCCACTGGGAAATATAAATCTTTATGCTAGTAACTAGTAAAAGGAACAAGAAAATACATTTGTGTTTAAAATAAGTGACAAAATTCCATGGCTCTGTTATGAGTGGTAAACTTTTTTTTTTACTCAGAGTTAATAATTCAATAACTTAAAATTCTTTATCATCATTTGTTCATCAAAATAATATTAATCGAAGAAAGATCAAGGGTTGTTCCTCTGGGGTAGGCGGGGACTCAGGTCAGCAGTGACTGTTAAATAATCCAACCTCTGATCTTAGTGATGCAGTTCCTAGGACAACACCTCTTTACAAGTAGCAAAAGCTGCTACTTTTGGTCTTTTGAAGGGCGTAGCTAGATTGTTTTGGATGACTAAAAGTAGGGGGGAAGTGTATTAGAAATGTCCTTTTTGGTTCTAGAGGTTCATGTGGATGGAGACCCGCAGCTCCCAGGGGACAGTAATTTGAGAACTTGCATTAGCCAGAGTCCTCCAGCACCAGCAGGGTGACCCTGCCTCTTTCCATCTCCGACCCACCTCTGCCTCCCTGTCCATCCCGGACTCTGTGTGAGAGACATTTACTGCATTCTGCAGGGGTCTCTTCATGGCGGGAGCAGGCCAGCGTTTGCTCTGAAGTCCTTCGCCTGGTTGGGTGAGATGCCCCCTCATTGCAGGGGAGATCACTTTCATTCAAATTCTGCTAACCCAGATGCTGACCGCATCTTGAGAATGCACAGTCACCCGTGGAGGTGTTTGCCCAAAGGGTCATGTGCTGGAGCCCAGCCAGGCGTGCGGGCAAGGAAACAGATCAGACGAAAGTTCACATCTTACTTGCCAACAAGTTTTCATTTGTCTGATTGAACCTGGTTCACTGAAACAATGAAAGGTTTTGATTTTGTAGTTAGAAACAGTAACCTTGAGTTTGGAAACAGAGGCCTTTGATTTTGTTACATTAAAAAAAAAAAAGATCCAACTTTTCAAAAAGACCATTTTAGCTGGGCAACAAACTAATCCCAGTTACTGGGAAGACTGAGATAGGAGGGTGACTGCTTCCAGCCAGGGCCACTTGGTGACTTAGAGAGAAGCTGTCTTCAGATGATGGTGACGATGGGGATGGAGATGGTGACAGCAACAACAATAACAATTGCAGTTCAGTCCTCACTGGGCTCCGTCTCTAGTACCAAAAGAAGAAAGAAAAGCGTCTCTAGTACTAAAAGAAGAAAGAAAAGCACCGTAAGGCTGAATGCATGGGTCAAATGTTTCGTTGCAGTTTGGACCCTCTGATCGTAAATGTTGCCAACCCTGGAATCAAGTTCACCACTGTTCTCTTCGCCAAGCACACAGATTGCCTTCTGGTGGGAGACAGCGATGGGCAGGTGGCCGTGTACGAGCTGAGGAATATGCCCACTGCTTCAGACTGTGGCCGGGTAAGGCTCAAGCAGAAAACCGAGTCATTCACCCAAGGGTGGTGCCACATGCCTGTAAGCCAGCACCTCAGAAGGCTGAGGCAGGAGGACTGTGAGTGTGAGGCCAAGCTGAGCCTCTCTCTCTCTTTCTCTCTCTCTGTGGCTCTGTCTCTCCCTCTCCTCTCTCACACATGCGTCTGTCTCAAGTCCACTCAGCTGTAAGTTTGTGGCACTGGGCTGCTGTGCGTTTCTTAAGTTTCATAAGTGTGGCATATTGGAAGACATTTAGGCACGGTACCTACAATGTTTATTTCCTGTCAGTTTTACTTCCTTTATTTGGGAAAGAAAGATGATGAAAATAATATTTCTGAGCATAAGAATTGTGGATGTTATGTGGAAGAACTTAAAATTGTGCCTAGGTGCTGGGCATGGTGACAAATACCTATAATCCCAGCTACTCAAGAGGTTAAGGCAGGAAAGGGCAGGTTCATGGCAGCTTGTGTAGCATAGCTAGGTCCTGTCCCCAAAAAGAAAAGTACGTAGTGTGTATTTAAGACTCATTAATTGCTAAACATAGCTAGAGAACTTCTTACAGGAAGTAACTTTATTTTTTAGATATTGTCCAGGGTTCCTGATACAGACATTTGCTTCTGCTGGTTTAGCATTGTCTGGTTCACTTACTCACCTATGAAAGTTTGTCACCAACCTTGACAAGCAACTGTTTTATTAGATGCTCATTATTTTTATACTAGTTTCTTAGTGTACTATTTTTTATGTTTAATTGTGACTGCAAATAGTAATCTGGTAACTACTGCCACAAATCCAAAAAGCATGTTTAAAATGTTAAGAGTACACACAACACAATAAAGAAAAACACTAAGACTTCAGTAGAAGAGTGAGGAATTGTCAGAAAAAGTCACTCACAAGAAATTACCAGTAAAAATATTTTAAAATTCAACCTCATTCATTAAAAGGCATTAAATTAAAAAGGTGACAGCATTTTTATATGTCCAATAGCCAGCTTTATTTGGAAAGAATGTATGGGCCTACTGAGCACTTATGAGCATTTATAAACTAAGTTTTCTCTTACTGATGGCTGGACGAGAAATTGGTGTGACTTCTTTGGAAATAACTTGACAATCTGAACACTCAGGAAATGTTGGTTCCCTTGACCCCATAATTCTGTGTCTGTGATTCTGCATAAATACCCCTAAACACAGGCAGGAATTGGTGACAACGTTATTTGTGGCAGGATAAAGAAAGCCCTGGAAAAGAGACAGCCTAACTACCTCTGTACGACAGGAAGGGCAGTCGAGCAAGGCGGGCAGACGAGCAGGGATTCAAACTCAGATCCCTGCCTCAGACTTTGTGCAACGGTAAACTCCAAATGGATCTGTACAAAAACCAAACTATGGAAGTACAGCATCATGTTTTAAGGAAAATAACTTTTTAATAAAAGGCCCCCAAATTCCCATTACTTTTGCCTATCAATTTGTATAATGGGTATAATAAAGGTACCAGCATCAAAGGCTGAGGGATTGACTGAATTAGTCAGTAGTACAGCTACCGGCTGGCACAGAGTCAGAACTATTCCTGGCACATAGTAAGCTCTCGGTAAACTTCTATTATTGTTGTACGCAACACAGAAGGCAGAAAAAATAGACCATTCAGTCCCTGCACGAATCCTTACTGAGCGGGTGCCATGTCTTCGCACACAGATACAACACCCAGCAACTGGTCCGAGCAGTTTGTTTCCTAAGTGGAGTGAGAGTGAGGCAGGACAGAGGGTCTGAGAAACACCCCGAGGCAGGGTAGGGTCAGAGGACTTGGCCGCTCCTCTGGGCAGTGAGGTCTCAAAGGTCAGGGAATGCCCAAGACGGCAGGTCACAGGCCACAAGGCAGGAACTGACTCCCGTGATACCGTGGGGAGGGTTTATGATGCCTGAGGGTGTGTCAAACACCTCCCGTAATTACCCAGCTCACCACAGCCTTTAGAAATAGATCAGGTTCCCCAAGACTGCCTTATTATGACATTCAGGAAATTCTCCCCTTCTGCTTCCCGTTCCTATCCTTTCTGTGCAGACGCTACTGTCCTATAAACTCTCCATACATCCTTGGGTCTCATTCTCTGTTATGTAAATATTTTCTTTTTAGTACAGTGCTAAGTATTATTAAGTGAAGATGCAAATCTCACGTGGAAATTGAGTTCTGCTCTCTTTAAATCAAGCATTAACAGATGGAGAGAGAACTGAAGATACTGACAAGTGTGGGGGTGGTTTACAGAGGAGAACGCTCAGAATTAAACACTCAGGCTAAACAGGAGCAGCCAAAATTTCCCTCTTGGTGAATCCTTATAAAATTATTTGTCAAGCTTCATTAAAAGGGGTTTTCATGGGAGAGAGCAGGTTTACACCAGGAAGTAACTGCTGCTGTTTAACCTTCTCTGTTTGTTCCCTTTTATGATCCTCCTGGTGCCCTCTGTATGCCTATGGGTGCCTTATAAATGTTAAATGGCCTTTAAAAGACCACTTTACCTCTTAAGTTGTGTTTTACTGCGTTGTAATTGTGTAACTTTTTTTCTTTTTAGGAAGATGTAATAAATGCTTTGCTTGGGTGCAAGTTCAACTAACCAGGGTAATTCATCATGCCTAATGTCTTTTTTGTTGTTGTTTAAAGAAAAAGAAACTGTAATATTCAGTACACTGTATTATATATTCTAGGCTAGAATTTTGATTTTAGAAAATACTACTTGATGTATAACTTTCATTTAAATTCGGTGAACTTTTAGTTAAGAAATATGGAGTTGGTTTGTGATGTAAGCTAGAGTTATTCTAAGTAAGAGGGTTGTTTGAATTTCCATAGTTTGCTGCTTCTTGGTCAGATCTGAAGGACGTGTGAGTATCTCCAATTAGATTATAAAACCTTTTCTTTATAGAGGCAAAATTTGGAAATTGTTACCATTGTGTAAACTGAAATTGTTTTAAGACAACACATCTACAACTTTTAAGCTGGGTGCGGTGGCACAGGCCTGTCATCTCAGCACTTGGGAGGCAGAGACAGGGATAGTGAATTCAAGGCAGCCCGGACCACACAGAGAAAACCTGTCTCAAAATAAATTCCATCGACTTTCAATCTTCTGCTCTCCAGGATTCCTTACTGTATAGTCAGTATGATGAGAATAGTGGATCCTTAAATCCAACTTTTAGCCTAAATTTTAACCCTATATTTAACCTAAATTCGCCTCCATCTAAGAGCTGAAGCTCTAGAACTTTCTTATTGTATTTGGCAAGAAAAGGACACAAGAGTGAATATCAGAATTGCACATTTTTATTGGAATTGCATCTCTAATTCAGTCAGAAAAATTAACTTGGTACAAATCAGGGGAGCCTCCTCTGGGTGCTCAGAATCCATGCTGGACTTTACACCCATAAAAAAGCCCCAGTGAGGAGACAGAAAGTCTCAGATCAAGGCTGTAGAGACAGGTGGAGGGGGAGGAATGGGGAAAGGAAGTGACTTCTCCAAATATGGACTGTAACGGCTGTCCCTGGGGCTTCCCAAGACCTGGGTTTGTTAACTGGAGCCACAGGCCCTGGTGGCCTGACCCGGAAAACTTTCTGAGTGGAGAGGAAAGCAGAGGTGAGGTGAGGACAGGAGGGGAGGGGAGAGGAAGGGAGGGGAGGGTGTATGAAACACACCCGCACGCGTTAAGAATGTTCTCTCTCTTTCTCTCCCCTTTAAACCAAAGCAAAGCAAATTGTAGGGGGATTTGAGGATTTAGCATAGGCTATGAGAATTAGGAGATTTTTACTGATGTCATTGTGATTATCTGTGAAAGGTGGGAATTTCTGGAACACTTTGTGTAAGATAATAAACCTTGATTTAATTGAGAAGCCGTGTTCGTTGTATTCTGTGTTTGGCAGTGCATGTGAGTTACACAGACCCGTGGGGTTCCTGTGCCAGGTCCACATGCGCGTGTGCTTCCTTGGGTCATACCCTCCCCGTTTCCCCAGGAACCTCTCCTGCTCTCCTGTCATTCTGTTTTCCTGTGTTCCACATTCCACGTTTGAGAGAAGACGTGGCGTCTGTCTTTCTGAATTTGCCTTATCTTAATGTGATGATCCCCAATTCTTGCCGAATGGGCATGGTTTTGTTTGTGGCTGGACAGCACCCCAGGGTGCGGATTTACATCTTCTTATCTGTCATCCACTGCTGGGCGCCTGCATGGAAGGAGCAGAGCCAGGTCCCGTGAGGGTTGTAGTGTACAACCACGGCCTCTGTACTGATTGTCGCAGTGGCACGAACTCACATTTCCACCAGCAGTGTCTATGGCTTCCTTTTTCTCTACACCCTTGCCAGGATTTATCATTGGTGATGGCAGCCATTGTGACTAGAGTCCCTTGGAATCTCAGAGCAGTTTTGACTTGCATTTCTCTGGTGGCTAAACGCATGGAACATATTTTCCCATAATTGTTGGCTATTTGTACTTCTTTCAGCAAGTGTCCCCTAACTTTGACCGTTTATTCCTTGGATTACATGTGCTTTCGGTGTTAAATTTTTTGAGACCTAGATACTGATCCTCCGTGGGAAGAAGGGGTGTCCAGCACTTGCCCCCGCTCTGTGGGCTAAATCCTTCCTCCTTTAATGATTCCTTTGCTGTGCAGAAGATGATTAACTTGGTGTCGTCCCACTTGGCTATTTTTAGTATTATTTCCTGGGCTATGGAAGTCTTATTGAGGGGGTTACTGCCTTCCTATATATTTGCCTATGTCCCTAAGTGTTTCCTTAGAGAATTTTAGGCCTTAGATTTAGATTTAGGTCTTTAATCCATTTTTAGTTAATTTTTATATCTGGCGAGAGATGAGAATCTAGCTGCGTTTCCTACATATGACTACTGAGCTTTCTCTGTGCCATTTGCTAACAAAGCCGACTTTTCCCAACACACGAGAGGATCAGATTATTCAGAGAATATTTAAATTTTGAGAATCGATTTCAGTAAAAGATACACTGGTATTAGTCCTCCTGAGATAATCTGCCCTCTTTTCAGACACACTTACTAAATTTAGTAGCCACAACCACACAACCAGAGACATAAAACCTCCTCCAGCACTGCCTCAGAGGGGCAAGAAGGATGGCATAACACGGGGGGTGGGGTTTTGAGGGTGACTAAGGGTGATGTGTCTTTTATTGTAATGAATTTTTAAAAATTTAAGCATTTACTATACATATATGAAATCATTCCTTGTATGTGTTAGGTACCTGCAGAGAATCAGATGGTGGTAGCTGCTTAGGTTTATTTCCCAAACCTCTCTTCTATTCTTTTCTATTCTTAGGACAATTCCACAAGCTCCATGTAGATCCGAAACCTACCATAGTATGTCTTGAATGCAAGAATTGCAGTGTCACAAGTGTGGGTCTTTTGGGTGAGGACTGCTTTTGTGAGCCAAGTCTTTGTGGTTCCCTGTGAACTTTAGGGATGTGTTTTCTAGCTCTGTGAAAGAGGTCATTGGTATTTTGGTAGGGATTTTCAAATCTGTAGACTGCTTTTAGTAGTATATCTATTTTAAGAATATTAATCCAATTCTCCCAATATATAAATATGAGAGGTCTTTCCATCTTGTAGTGTTTTTTAAATTTCTTTCTTTCAATTTCTTGTTCAGTATCCTTAAGTGTTAAGGAAACATTTAAGGATATAGACAAGGGCAATAACCCCCTCAATAAGACTTCACAGCTCAGGAAATAATAGTAAAAATAGCCAGAGGGGATGACACCAAGTTAATAAGCTTTTGCACGGTAGTGCATTATAATTTCCATCATAGAGACCTTTTCCCACCTTAGTTATAGCTGTTCTTTGCATCATCCAGCAGCTATTGGACTGATACTTTGTGATCTCCTATTTTAAAGAAATCTTCCTTTTCATGATTTCTACCTGCAATCCTGTCTTCTAGATCTGATATTCTGTCCTCATATTGGTTCATTCCACTCTGTAGAATTTTTAATCTCATTCACTTCAATAGGATTTTTAATCTCTTGGATATCTGATTAAATCTAGTTCATGGGTTCCACTTCTTTCCTCGATTGGGAATTCATGATTTCCATCATTTTACTAAACTCTTCTATTTTTTATCATATCATCTCAAGAGTCACTAACCACACTCTTCATTGTGACCAGCCCCTCTGAAGTTATCTGAGAAGTTATTTAGGTTGATTGTTTCTAGAGCGTCATTCATCTGCTTTGTCACCTCCGCTGCTATCACTTCAGCCTCCTCAGGCCTTCACAGTTTCCCACTTCATTGCCCCCGTGGTTTTCCCTTGGCAAACTGGAAGTCTGAGTTTGCATGTTGCTTCCATGTCTTCTCATTTTCTTTTTCTCTATCTCGCTTTCTTTCTTTCTTTTATTTATGAGGCTTGTAAATTAATTTCGGTAGGTATCTTTATTGCTAGTACTGAGAACATTCAGGAAATTGCTACTTCCCAGAGAATTCTCTGTGTATAGCAGCAGTCTTTTAGATTTTGAGTCTGTTGGTTTATTGGAGATGAGAGATTACTCTTCCAATGTGGAATTCCTTTACGTACCTTCAATAGTGCTGGTGTAGTAGTGAAGATTTAGTTTATACTTGTCTTGGAAACCTTTTAGTTCACTTTTTATGCTGAATTTTAAATTTAATTATTATAATAATCTAGGTGTGTGGTCATTTCCTTTCAGGGCATGAAATGCATCCCTCCATGCCCTGCTGGCCCTTTGTTTCTGCTGGGAAGTCTGCTGTTATTCTGACGGCATTGTCATTTTAGTTTACTTGATACTTCTGTCGTGCTTCCTTCAAAACTTTTTATTTTGTTAAGAACTTTTGCAGTTCATCGTATGACATGGGGAGATTCTCTTGTCATCATGTCTATCTGGGACCCTACACCCATCATGTTACCCTGATGTCCACGTTTTCCCCTAAATGCGGGAAATTACCTGCTGTCATCCATGTGATAGGTTTTCTGTGCCTTTAGTCTGCTCCTCACCACCTTTGTCTAAACTGATTATTTGTACTTTTGGTCTCCTAATTACGTCCCCTAGGTCTTGTATGTCTTGTTCATAATTTTTTCTGTAATACTTTCTGAATGTGGTAATTTCTCAGGCTTGTGTTCAAGCCCTAATATTTTTCTTCCCCTTGATCTACTGGTGAGGATTTCAACAGAGGAGTTTTTATTGTTGTTGTTTTATCTTTAAACTAGTGAACTTTTAATTCCCTAGATGCCTTTGTTTCTTTTCCAGACTCTCTCTCTCCCTATTAAGTTGCTCTTCCATAGTTCCCTCAGCTGTTTACCTACATGCTCTTTTGAGTCACTGATCACTTTTAAAATCAGTCTTTCATATCACCTGCCTGGGGTTTCAGTCATCTCAGCATCTTCGGGTTCATTCACTGAGGAGTCAGGGACCTTAGAGTAGTCACACTGCCTTGTTTCTGTATGTATTTCTTCTGTCTCTGTGTTGAGATTTGCGCATCCGTTGGGGTGGCTGTGTCCTCCTCTGTCACGCGAGGGCCTCCTTAGCAAGCGGAGCTGTGGGGCCCCACGAAGTCGCAGTGATCACAGATACTAAGTGGACAGGTCTGTGAGCGCTCCCGTGTCACACAACAGCTGCCCAGCTCCCAGGCCAAGGCACTGACTTTCACGCTCCCTTGGAAGCCCTGCAGCCCCTAATTAAGTCTCTGATCTGTACTGCCATACAGATCAGTGTCTCAGTTACTGCAATTCAGTTCCTCACTCAAGGTGCTGCATGCCATTTACTTTAATCTCAGAATCTGCCTGTTACCGTGTTGCGAATGGGAGCGTGTTTGTCACTGCAGGTGATGCCGTGCCTGCATGACTGTGTGCCCTTCTGCAGAGGGTGGGCATTTGGGCTTTTGTCAGCGTTGGCTCCAAGTGAACTGCTGTGAGTGTTAAGAGAGAGAGAGAGAGCAACTCCAGAGAAGCAAACCAGTGTGTAGTGTTTAAAAACACTAGCAATGACAATAGAAAGTAAAGGGGGCAGAATACAGAAGAAATGAAAAAGATGAAAATTAGTAAAAAGCCAATGGTTTCCAAAGGGGCTGGGGAAAAGGAAAGAAGAAAGAAGCAGCAAGATTTTAAAGGAGGAAAAGAAAATGTGTAAGAGGTGAAGAGTGAGACCTAAAAATCCAACTGACACAGTAAAAAACAGTTACTTTTAAAAGTGGGAAGACAGGAGTAATCCGAAACTCCCCCACCTGAGGTGCCCGGCTGGGGTGGCGGCTGTTTGGGTCCTCTCAGGTTGGATCCCTGGGGCGAAGGGGCGGGCAGCGAGCTGGGGCCTCCTATGAGTCCTCTGGGCTCCTCGTGGGCAGGGCTGGCAAGCGGTTTGCAGTCTGCTGCTGGCTGGATTCACATGCGAGGCTTCCTGTGGGCTCTTGGGCCTCACCACGGGTCGCCCTGGGCCCCTGCCCTGTCCACCCGCTGGTCCCCTCCCCACCTCGGGGCCATCTCCTGAGAGGTAGGGTGAAAGGATAGAGGTCGCATAACAGAAATAAAATCAGGTAGAAAAGAGACAAGGGAAATCAGAACCTTAAAATCAGACTTACCGAAAACTGCAGCTTCAGGACACAAAAAGGTGATGATGCCTTTTCCCAGCGAGGAAACCCCCAGGACCCCCAGGAGCCTTAGGACACCCAGAGGCTGCTATGCACCGGGCAGGGAAAACCGCTCCCCAGCTGGCTGCCTCGCCCCAGATGGCAGCCTGACAGCCGCAGGAGGGGTGCACACCTTGGGCCCCCCATCTGGAAGACACTACAGGACCACAAGGAACCCCCACCCCAGACTATAATGCACCCTCTCTAGGGGGCCCTGAGTGCCCTGCTTCTTTCTGCCAAAAAATCCTCTTCAGGTTCCAGCCAGGAAAGCTGCAGCCAGCCTGCCCTGTGGAGGAAGTGAGCAGATTCTGGGCGATCTCCTTGGACCCCACCTGGTGACATCCTTTGGTGAGTCAGCCAGGAGGTAAACTGAGTCACCAACTTCGGTAAGTACAGCAGAATGCTTTTTTTAAAAAAAACCGTGTTTGCCTTTTGATGTCGTGGTTTGTCTAATCCCTGCCTAAACACCTTAGACCAAAGGGGATCCTCCAAACTGCAGTGTGCAACCCTCTTTAATCTCTCACGCACTAACCTTTTTCACTCCTGTAACCTACGGTCATAAACTGGGTCCCCCTTCTCTTCCCTTCCCTTCCCTTCCTTCCTTCCCCTTCCCTTTCCTTTCCTCTCTTTTTTTTTTCTTTCCTTCCCTTGAGATCTATCCCTAAGTTGCTTGTCTGCAGACATAAATATCCTGAGGGTGACTTTGAGTAAAACCAGCCCCTGTGTATGACTTTGTTCTCCTACCTTTCTGTCTTCCCTCTGTGAAGATGCACACCCCTGTGTACTTTGGAAGGTCCAGAAATGCGGGAAGCAGATTCTACCTGTGAGAACAGGGTCACCAGAAAACAGCCAGCCGTGTCCCTTAGGGGCCCGTGACAGCTGCCCCTGGGCCCTGGGAAATGGACCCACAAGCTCATCTGTGGGATGGAGACATTGTTTAATCTGGATTTTAGTAGACTGGAAAGGATTCTGTCTTGTGCATTTTTTAAAAAAATCTTCTTCAAAAGTACACAAGGGAGGCCTTAAAAAGTGCGTGCCGCTCACAAGATTATGAATAACTTGTTATCTATGTCTAAAACATCACCTTTAAGATGTATTTTATAAAATTGGGACTGTTTTTTAAAAATAAAACCAAAGGAAAAGTTAGTTTTTCTCTGTACTTTCTAGCCATAAATGAGAGTGTAAAATGATGAGGTCTCAAACCAGTGTGGTACAGGGGAGCAGTGGATAGACATCTCATCTGCCACTCTGACTCTGCTCTCTCCCTCCCGACTCTTCCTGGCTTAACATTCTGTTGTTAGCATAACCAACGTATCACAAACGATCTGTGATGACACTGAACGATAGGAGAATTCTGATTTGTTTGTAGTTATAACCCTAAAACTCAAAAAACAAAACCTTACTACAACCCAACATGGCCAGTGCACCCAGCAGTGCACTCTGACTTGTGAAATTGTTTTTGTGCCATTGCTGTTTTGTGTGCCTGCCCGCTCAGCTCACCCATTCATTGTCACTGCCCAGCGGGCCTGCCCCTGCCCCACTGAGTTCATTTTATGTCTTTTCCTTCCATTTAAAACAATACTGGCTTATAGATGTGTGGGTTTATTTAAAAATAAAAAAAAAACACAGATATTGAAGGGTTACCAAACATGCTAGGTCATTAAAGGAAGAACTTTATTGCTTAGACAGCTGATGAGATCTTGGTTTTGTGTATCAAATTCTGAATTTTGGAAATGAATCTTCTCATTACCCAACTTAATTACGTGTAATGAGTTTTTAAGAGGGTATTTTTTGGGATGGAGCACAACAAGAAAAGCTAGAGGAGTGGCCCTCCGTGGGGCAAACTGGAGCCAGCTGGTTCAGGCGGCTGCTTTCCGCGGAAGGCGGTCCTGGTCTCAGCCCGTCAGAGCCTCCTGAGGGAAACACTTACATATGTTTATAACTTATAAAGATAGAATTCCATATTAGAACTTTAAATCTTAGTAACCTTGAGGAAGAAATAGGATACCTTTCTGTATGTTAATAATTTATAGTTAAAAATAAAAAATCCCAATATCTTATATTCTTATTATCAAGAACATTTAAATTTACATTTAGCATGGATGGCTCAAATACGTTCCTGTAAATGCTTTATTTATTTATTATTTTTTTATTTTAAAAAAATTAAAATAAAAGAGGACATAACAAAACAGGTCAGAACAGAACAATTTAAGCAACATAGTGTTTCACCACAAGACAACACAATATAACAGTAGCTACCATAGTGTCTCTTTCCTTGAAATATTTGGGTATACCTTCATACACTATAGCATCAAACATAATAAGACACTGTAAATATTTATAATATATGTATTTAAACTTTTCCTGTCTTGACAACTAATTTTGTGTTACTTATGGAAAGCAAGGTATTAGACAAACATATTTAATACTTTGTGATTTTTTTTTTAGCAAAGAAATCCCCAAAGCTGTTGTACAGGGACATTGCATTGTAAGGGTAAATATTATCTTGAGTATTTCTAACAAGGTAAGTAATGTTGTATGTTAGCAGTTTTAAAGATATCCTTACCTTTATTTTACTAACCAGCTTAAGTGAATTTGTCTTTTAAGCTATCTGAACAAAAGGCCCTGGCGCTAATTACACAAGGGCCTACTGAACTGTAAGCCCGCAGAAACCCAGCTTTTCTCAGGACTGGCTTCCATGGCTGAAAAGCCACTGTCTGCACCAGTTCATGCCAGTTTACTCAGCTGAGGGCGGCGACTCCCGTTTTCTCCCTGGTCTCACTGTGATGCATCCCAAAAGTATTCTTATTAAAAATTATTACATTACTTAAACTGAGTACAAGAAGTTTCAAAATTTAATACACTTATATAAAATGAAAGTCTCCAGCACCCTCCTGTGTGCCAGTGGGGGTTGAGCCAGCCAGGAGGGAACCAGGAAACTCCCTGTGACTCAGCTGGTGCCTGGGCAGGGAGAGAAGATCCTTACCTGCCAGTCCAGAAAGCAGCTGGCTGATTTGCAGGAACACAGGCTGAGCTGACAGCAACTGGAGTAAGGAAAGGACTTAATGCCTGTATTGTTTGATTGACTTTGCAGACCTAAAGCCCGCAATCTGAGCGTCTACTTAGAGGATAACAATATGCAATATAGTAACTACTGTGAATTTTCTACTGTCTTGTTTTTGCCAATATTGTTCTCATTGTTTTATTGTTTTGTTTTATTCCCTTTAAAATATAAAAAAATTCATCAGCCATCTACATAATAAGGTTCTTACATTTTCTATTAGATTTCTTAAGATTTTTTTTTAAAACTGAGCTTAGACGCAGTTAATTTAAGTGTTATTTTGTTATAAAGCCTTTGAAATAGTTTGTAGTTTTGGCTAAATAAATAATTATTATTTAGATAAATAACATTTCAGATTATTATAGTATGTTTTATGCTATATAAGTCTCTGGGAATGGATTTTATATCTATGTATCTATCTATGGATTAAATATACTGTGTGCCCCTGACCTTTGCCAAAGGAACAAGGTTTATATACTTAAAAGCAAGCAAGATTAATAAAAAAAGATAACAGTTAAGTGTTCTCTTTAATACAATATACATTTATTGCCGCTGAACCTTAAGTATATAAAGTGATCCAAAGTTTTCAGCATCTCTGCTACATATATCTGAGACTATTCAGTGCTGCCTTTTACATCCTTATCTACATATATTGGCTTTGCCCAAAGCAGCATTTTATTATGTGTAAATGTAACACTCTGGTATATTTGGCAAGAAGCCTTTTTGTGGTCACCAGTATTGTTTGCTGAACTTGTAGGGCATTGTATTAGTTACTTTTTACTCATTGCTGAGACAAAATACCTGAAGCCCAAAGCTGGGAAAGAAAAGGTTTATTTCTTACAGTTTTTGGAGGTTTCAGTCCATACGCAGTTGGCTCCAAGACAGGGTGGCATGGCTGGGCCGCAGTTTATGGCAGCTGTAAACACCAAGGAGGAAACAGGCAAAAGAGTGAGACACACCTTCTTCCTGCCATTACATTGTATACTGGCTCCAGTCCTAGGCTGGTATAGCATTCACATCCCCAATCCAAGAGCTAGACAATGAACCAATCACAAATGCACAATGCAAATGCATGAGGCCTGGGGGCCACTGACATAAACCATGACAGGCATATAAAGCTATTCTCTGACTTCTGTCTGTGTTGTTATCTATCTAGATAGACTCATTAAAGGATTCTAAATTTTGTCTTAAAATAAAACATTATATATATGTATATGTATATATACATCTCCTATGTGTACCTTCGATGCTAACTATTGCAGACTTCTTTGTGTGTTAGACACATTTATGTGCCGCCAGTGTATGAATCTTGCAAAATATCACTTTCAGGTAAACATCTTCTCCTACTGCTGTTCTCCACAGTAAAGTTATTTGTGACGACAGGCTTTTCCACGTTCATGCTTATATATTTGTAATTATCCCACAACCATCGTGTTTACACATAGCTGATGAAGAGTCTCGCGGGCTTGGTGTGATAATCTCAGTCCTAATTACCAACTCTGTGCTCGGTGTGATAAGCAGTAACTGCCTTACTTGGTCAGTCACCGAAACTCTGTTGTTCTAGGCCTTTTTCACCCGCAGTTTTTTTGGTAGAACGTCTCCAGTAGAACCATGGGAAGTAGAACCATGGGAAGCTCTCTGCTGAGTCCCCGCTACGGGGTGCTTTCTCAACAAAGCTCCACTTAGTGTCTGTGAGTCTTGGTTCTATACTGTGTATAACTAAATGTGCTTTTGCTCTTATTAGTTTTTGTTTTACATTTTTCTTGTAAAACTGTAACTGTTGTCTATGAACATGCCATAGAAGGTGACTTCTAACAGACACCCAAGCGGCAGGCCATCGGCCAGCACCTACGAGACAGATGGACACGATACTATTCCTAATAAAAACCCCTGTAAGGCCTGGCACCGTAACACACACCTGTGATCCCAGGCAGTAAGTTCGCTGCAAGTTTGAAGTCAGCCTGGGCACATAATGAGACCCTGTCTCAAAAATAAATAACTAAAATAGAAAAGCCTATTAAATAAAAGGGGTAACTGTCTTACCTCATTCCCTATATATCCTCCACACCAAAAGAAAATGACAGTATTAAATTAAGACTCGCTACTGCCCCTTCAAGGCTGATAGAACTGAACATTGGGTGTTCAAGACTCACAGCTCCAAAATAGAAAAGCCAAAAGGGCTCGGAGGACGCACAGTATTTTGGCCCTTTGCCTCTGGTGTGCCAGGACTCTGGGACCAATGTGCCTCTCCGAAAGACCCTGAAATGCTGGTGGAGAAGATCGCTGATCACAGAGAGCAGGTGCCAAAGAATATTTATTCTGCAGTGAGGAAGGGCCCTGGGGAAAGCATCCTCATGCTTTTAGAAGAATCCATATGGCTGGGGGAGATGGTGACCTGTCCTGGCAGATGACATACCTGGTAAAGCAAGGTAAAAACTAAATGAGTGGAAGTCTCCTCATGCAACCCCAAAAGAAATCCTTGAGGAACCTCACCTACCCTTAACAGGGAAACACAGTTTTACTGCTGATTAAAGATCTTCTTTTGACTTAGTCTTAAACACCAGCAACAACCACCAAATGTTCAATAATTAATAGTAATCTAAAAACAAAACTAGACTTGATATAAACAGGGGCTCCAGACACATCCGCTGTCTCTCTGGGTCTCCGGCTGCAGCGGGCTCTAGGTTCCCATTAGCTGTTCTAAAAAAAATGCCCTTCGGCCTATCTTACTGTGCGCGGTGCTATTATTCACCATGCTTTCACACAGTCCTCTGATAAAGACTGGGCTTCTTGAATAGGCCTGCCTATAAGATAAAAATGATAATACTTTAAGCTTCTAAGAATTGTTACTTTTGCGGTATAAACTAACTTCCTGTTATGCACTCTGGATTTTATGCATTTATATTATCAGGACTCGACCACTCCCGAAAGTCACCAGGTCTGCAAAATAGAGGCCGCCTGCAAGTCCTGAGCCCTGTGATAAGAATTTAGTGGTCCGGTCATTATTTAGTTTATTCCTTGCTCATTATCCTTATATTTAAAGTGGAAAGACATCAGACCTATTATTGATAAAACAGACTCCTGTCTGCGTGCTTTAAAATATCTCAGAACAAAGAGAAGCTAATACTAAAGATGGAAGGCAGACCTGGCTGCTGCTGAGTTTATCTGCCTCCTACCCTTCAGGGAACTGCTGCTCCCCATCATTCTGTTTTTAACTTCTGGCCCTTGCCTGTTTCACATGCCTATAAAATTTGCGTCTTCTGGACTTGTCAGCACCCAGTCAAGCTGAGGCTTACCTGTGCGGTCCTCACATGAAATTTTATATATACATTCCCGGCAAGTCTACATTACAGCACTGACATTACAAGACCCATATCCCCGAATCAGTACAACGGCACATGCCGCCTTAGGATTCGGTAATTTGCTAATGTCCTGGTTCTCAAGAGCGAAGCGATTACCTAAGAAGGAGGTTCTTTCAGCCTTATGGAAACCTTATCTTGAACCGTATCTTGCATCTCCTTTACAGCATTTAGGACCAGTTCTTCAGCGCCCTGCTAGGCAGCAGCGCCAGCACCCCATGTGCCTGAGGCAGCCATAGGAAGACAGATCCTGGGACCCCCATGTCCTTCATAATAAGGGGTCAAAGTCTGGGGGCAGGGACCAGAGGAATGAGACAGGATAGAAAAAATAAGGATAGGTAAAGACCAGGGAAATTGTGATTTTAAACTTTTAAGAAAAACTAGTTTTAGGACACAGAGTTACCAAAGGTTGCAATGTTTTTTCCCCCTTCCAGTGGCATTTTACCTGAGTCTCTTGAAAGAAAATGTAGTTTCACTGTGGGCACTTAGCAGATTCATTTACCTATTGATGTATTAGTAACCATGCACATTACAGTTCTTTCCAGCCTGTAAAACACTTTCACAGCCACTGTCTCAGTGATAACTTTTACTAGTTGTAACGTTATTATAACACTTGCCTTCCAGATGTGTAGTTAAGGCTTGTGGAGATAGTGTAACAGCACCAAGGACCCTTTAGGAGCTGCTTGGTCATGCTCGGCTCAATCTGAACAACTGCTCGTTTCCTGCTGTTGCGTAGTACGTTTAATGTGTACTGTGCAGTTTTCTGTACCTAAGGATAAGGTTCCTAAACTGGATTTTTCTCTCTATTCTCACTATACTTGACCTTAGAGCTTTCGCTAGGAACTTTCTGCTCCTCACTGCCGACTCTATTTCATCTTTCCAGACTTATTCACATGTCACCTTTTTAGGACAGTGCTTTCCTTCTTTATTTTTTTTTTAAAGTTTCATTGTTTTTAGTTGGTGTTTGCAGTGCCCAATGGGTACATTCCTTGTGGAGGCTTAGCGTGTGTACATCACACATTTTAGTTTGTATGTCTTTAATTCTTATCTTCCCATTTGCAAAACTTACACCTCCCTATTTCCTATTGCTTCCCTTTTATCTTGTCCTTTATTTATGCATTCGTCGGGTTTCTCACTTTAGAGAAACCCTGCGGTGTTAGGCTTGTGTGTCTGGTATGCTTCATGTAACATGAGATCTTGAGGCACCCTTTTTCCTGCAGGTGACCGAATCTTGACAGCAGCATAGCTCTCCTCAGGGCGTGAATACATTTTGTTCATTCATTCCTCTGCCGATGGACACATAGGCCACTTAATTTAGCTATTGTGAATTGTGCCACTAAAGACACTGTTAGGGACATGTAAACTGGTCCAACTGCTATGGAAATCAATGTGGAGATACCTGAAAAAACTGAGAATAGAAATCCCATCGGCCTGCTTTTCCCCTTCTCAGCATCTTCTGGAAAGAATTGAAGACGTCCTATTACAGGGATGCACACACACTCATGTTTAGAGCAGGACAATTCTTCCCAAGTCCCTCCCCACTACACTTGGTCCTCTTGTCAAATCTTTTCAAGCCACCATGAGTTTCCCTTATAGCAGTATTTCAGAAAGGATTGTTGATGAATTGGGTGTGGTGTGTACTCTGGTAGTCTCAGCACTTGGGAGGCCGAGGCAGGAGGATCATTGCAAGTTTGAGACCAGCCTGGGCTACAAAGTGAGCCCAAGGCCAGCCTGAACCACATAGTGAGATCCTATCTCAAAAAGACAAAAAAATAAAAGGATTGCTGAGGGGCAATATTTAGATTACTTTTCAGTGCTCAGACTTGAATTCAGGCCCTCACACCTGACAGGAAGTGTTTTATCATTGGGCTACAGCCTCAGCCTTAGAGATGTATTTTTCGGTCCCAATTCTTCATTGGCTTTCTCCCTCAGGTTGCTAGGACTACGCTGTTTAAGGAAACATGAACTCACAGTGTATCAACGACAGTCATTGTATTCTATAAAACCATAGAACTTAGGAGAACTGTCTGGATTCAGAACACATTGAAGCAGAAAAAATTACATGCTGTCCTCGGATATGGTAGGGGTGGAAGACTCAGGACCGGGAGTCCTGTGCTTGCAGAGGACAGTGGAGACCCAGGCCCTGCTTCTCAAAGCATCATCTAGGCAGGGGGCTGCCTGAGGGGGGACTACAGTCCGCTTTGATAAAACACTGCAGACCATGAGTGTGTGCAGAGAGCAACAGAACCTGCTCGAATCCAGGAAGTCAAGCACCAGAGAAGCAGCAGCTCTCAGGCCGAGAAGGCCCTGCCTGGAGAATTGAGTCAGATGTGCTGTGTGGTCCAAGGAGGCGGAGGGAGGTCAGAAGCAAGCTGGAGGGGCCTCAGCCTGCTGTGCATGTGGCTTGTTCCTGCCAGGGCGGTGGAACTTGAATGAAAAATTACGCTGAGCTGTAGAAGATGCAGCCACCTTTCTTGGGTAGCTGGGTCTCCAATACGAGATTTACGGCTGCTATGCTACCTGTTTATTTGTGTGTTCACTTGCTGAGTGCCTGCCTTCTACCTGTACTGTAAGCTCCTTGAGGGTAGAGACCAAGTGTTTTGCTAA